ATGGATTGCAGTTATTCAAATAATGGGAATGATATTCTCTTTATGTTTATGTTGTCAGATCAGGTATAATGATGACACTTATGTGTGACTGTATTTTGAAGTGTAGTTTATAGCTGTGATGTATGATTAATTATTAGCTTGATGTATGATTAATTATTGGTATTTTTGATTTGTAAGGGAAGTGAAATGTTGATGTTGTCCAGTTTGAGTTAAAATTTGTAATAAATTACTGAAAAATATGACCTAAGAAGTATAAAAAATATTGGTTAAAGTTTAGATCATAGAAGCATGTGATGTTTTGGTTTTGTCATGATTATTTTGGATTTTAATGTGCACATTTGGGTCACTAGAATGTAGTATTTGCAGGGTTTATCAACAACCCATATAGTGGTCATATTTGTTTTTGATTAGAGTTGCTCTGTGATAACACTTGTGTACCAGCAGGGAACAATAAACTATTCTGATATTTTTTTTAATGTGTTTCTGTTTGTATCATGTAGTTGATAATCTAGGTATTTGATATTTTTTGCTTGATATTAGGCAATGGTTATCCTCTGGAGAACATAGGGGCATGCTTTTCATGCTTACACTGAAATTGAACTGCAATAATATTGCAACAAAGGAAAAAATTGTGAGTCCCTGTGAGGAATCAAACCTTTCCACTGTGGTAGCACTTTATGAAAATCATAGTCAAGACCAGTCAAGGGAAGTTTGGGTGGGGAACATGTACAGAGGCCTTCCAGTGGTCACTCTCACCTTGTTTGAGACAAAATGCTTTCCCCGTGCTGTCTTGGTAGCCATAGAGACAGGAAATGTATTTATTGTGGAATTTCAACCCAATGAAGTCAAAGTTTGTCAGCACCAACAATGTAATCAGTGCATTGGCAATGTTTGCACCCATTTTTGAAAGTGATAGACAAAAGAAGGTGAAGAGTTGTTGCAACCATTGCTTGTAAGAAAAACAACAATTGTCGCAAATCACAAGGAGTCTCTTGATTCTTGAAAGACCATTCCTGTCTTGTAAATTTAGATAAAAATCAATTTTTTGGTCGTCCTCAATACATTTTTTTTGCCTCTAAATTACGCTTATGCGTTGTTTTCATATTTTCTTGGAGAAAATTCGGTCGCAGTACTGATGAAAACAATATTTGTGCAAAAGTTTAGGGGCAATTAAGGTGTGCTATGAGCGTCACGATTGACGAATTGCTGTTTGAAAGATAGTTTATGCGTCCTATATGAAGTAATTTGGATGTTTTGTACTTTTTTGACAAGTCATCCCTGAAGTCATCCCTAGGCTCACCCGGACATGTTAATATTGGCCTCTCAGAGTAAATAACGATGTTTTTTCCGTTAAAATTTAACATTTATTTGTCAGCCTTTTCGTAAAACTTACGTTCATATTAACTTTTTAACGGTTTTGGTATGTCTAAGCAGCGAAATTCGAAATCAGCCAAGTCCAATGTTAGTAAACTTGCATCAGACCAACCACAAAATTGCGATCAAGATCAGAGTGCCTTGCGTGAAGGGAAAGATGAAACTTTGTCTTCCCCAGCTACAAGAGCTCAGGAATCCTTTAGTGTCTATTATGTTTCGTTATCTGTGGTAGTTGTTTTGGTTGCGGGCCTTTTAGCCTTTTCTGTTTCTCATCGTTTTAAAAATTCCGTAACTGTGCCAACCAAGGCAGATACCAAACCCAAAGGGCTGGTTCTACTTACTGAAGAAGAACTTTCCAAACATGATGGGTCCGATCCTAATGTCCCAGTATACCTGTCAATTCTTGGTCGAATTTACGATGTCGATAAAGGAAGACAGCATTATGAAGTTGGGAGCGGGTACAATGTGTTTGCAGGTCGGGATTCCACGCCATCGTTTGTGACAGGAGAATTCTCAAGAGAGAAAGCTACGGATGATGTGAAGGGATTATCTCCAGAAGAAATGTTAGGTGTCAAAGAGTGGTTAGACTTCTACAGAAAGGATTATATCTATGTTGGAAAGCTAATTGGTCGCTACTATGACAGTGAAGGAAATCCCACTGAAGCACTGAAGGAAGCTAAAACAGTCATTAAGGAAGGGCAAAAATTAAAGAAGCTTCAAGAAGCTCAAAATAAACGTTATCCAGGTTGTAACTCTAAATGGAATGCAGAGGAAGGCTCGACAGTTTGGTGCTCTCAAAACAGGTATGAAGATACCAAAATACCGAAAAAACTTTTCCAGTATTAAGAGATGGGATTGGTTGTGTAAAGTCATACATGTATGTCATAAAATGGGTTTTCAGAGCAAATTTGTTTCCTTAATTAAAAAAAAAAAGTGCCACTAAGGAGAAAGGAACACAATTTATATAAAAGCACAATGAAACATGAGCAATATTTTATGAACTGCCTATGTTACTTTGAATTCAAACCACAAACTTTTGGCAAATTAGTGACTTAAATCAGAAATTTAGGGGGCAAAATTTTTCTTCAGAGGCCATGGTGAAATGTAGGCATCTTGGAGCCTTTTTCTAGACGAGCTTGCACAGGGCTCAGTTGGATGTGCCACTAGCCTCTAAGAAAAAAGTTTGAAAATATTTGATTGGGTTTACCAATCACAGTTGTCATGTCAGTTTAGTTTTCTACATAGCTATAGCTATGCTTTTCTAGGTTTTCTCCTATACTTTATGTACCTCATTACTACAATAGAATCTTTAGCCAAATGTTTGTTAATGTTTAAGTACCTTTACTTTGGATATTTTGTGAAATTCAGTATATCTGAAAATTAGCAATGTCTTTCACCCAGATCTGAGCCCTATTCCAAAATGAATCTTTTGTCTTTCTCCTGCAGTGGTGGAATAAGTCGTAGTTGGGTCGGAGTACCAAGAAAAATGTTTAAACCAGGGAAAAAGGATTCTAAGTGTGTGTGTATCAAGACTACTGGCCCATCAAGTGACACTGGTGAAGGAAATGATGGTGACTTGAATAATCCAACAATGAAGCAGTATGTTGGGTGTGGCAAATATGATGTCTCATGTAAACTCTAATTTTTATTGACATGGAGAAATTGATTGCTCTCTACTTTTAATCACTTTTACAGCCCTTAATCAATTAAATGTTATAAACTAATTAAAGTAAAAGTCTTCTGTTCAAATGTAAACTTAAATGTAAGTGGAGCCTTTTTAGTAATGGTAGTACATAGTTGAATTATATTTGAATAATTGTTATGTTTAATTAACTTAGATGCATTATCATGGGATAGTTTGTCAAGGGTGGCACAGGATTCATCAAATTATTGTGCTATTATTTAATCAAAGTATTCAATGTTGGATATTTTATATTTTTTGCTAGAAATGCAGCAAATTATTTCAGTCTTACACTGTCTGTACAATACTTTACCTCACCTGTTGTTAGAATTTTTAATTTTTTACACAATTAAAAGATTATCCACCTCGTTGTCACAGCTCAGACTAGAAAGTTAGGTATTTCCAAAGGACATTTACAATAGTTTATAATTTGTTCATTATCAGCATCTTCAATATGAGATGGAAACAGGAGCTGGAAGCTGGAAATTGGGATATGGAGGATTTTGTGTTTTTATTGAGCTGGAACAAGGGACTTGTTCCAGCGCATTAGATCTTGTAATTCAAGCGCATTAGATCACATACCCATGTATTTTGCACTATATAAATAATGAAGTTAAAATTAAATTGTTTCTCAATATTTGCAAGATTGGATCATTAACTAACACATTGAGTCCTATTTGTTTTCTTGAATCTTTTTTCTCGAAAATCATTTAGCCATCATACTCACATCAACTTTTGGAGGTAGTGACACCATTTTTTATCCTCCCCAGCCCCTCTTATTGATACTTACTGAGTACTATGAAATCTGCTGGCAGATAAAACTAAGGGTCATTGGTTCCTTTGGTAGACAAAACTTTGTTTGATTGTGCTTTTACTCATCATTAGTTCCCATCATTTCCAGTGGGGGAGCAGTGGGGGTTAATTGGAATGGTAGCAGTGCTCAAAATTTAAACTAGGCTACCCTCAAAATGATTTCAACTGCTTGAGACTTTCTGTTCTTACAGCTCCTTCTTCTTCTTTCTCTTTCCTTGTATTGTCTTAGGCAGTCACACCAAATTGAACAATCTGTTTTCAACATCCTAAAATTGTTTCCCCTTAACCACTGTAATTTTGACCTCTATTAAGTGGTCACCTCTACCAAGTGGTTATGGCCACCCTTTACTGAGTCCCAATGGCCTTTTTGAATTGTCATTCACCTGTATCAGATACTCTATTAAAGAGGGACCACCAAAATAAACCAGGAATAATATTTCAAAGAAATTGTTTCTCTTGCAAAATCAATATTAGTGGTATTTTTGAGTGAGTTGTTGACCCAAATCTGTGGAACCTATATCTAGCAGTCACCCCACTGTTCCCCACAGGTGGCCACTTGATACAGGCTTGACTGTGCTTGTGTGGTTTGGATGAGTTTTACTATGCAGATTTGGACTCCTTGTTCAAATCTGCCAGTGGTTATGAAACCCCTTGGTTGATTTGAACCACTCATCAACACTTTTTTTTTTTTTAGTGTTCTTGATCTCCATCTTTAATTTATCATGTTTAGTAATGAATGGGGTTTTACTACCACGGGCGAATTTGAACAAGGGGTCTCAATCCACCAGCCAAAATGGACCGAAAAGGGGTTTGCTTTGACTGGTGTAGAGGCGATTTTGTAGTACGCTCTAAACCGCACAATTTATCGACCAGTCAGTCATGTTTAAACAAACATCGAGTAATCTCGTTTAGTTTGCATGAGATTTCTTTTGGAAATTCGGTTAAATATTTCTGGTGGCCGGGTTGAGTCAAATTCTGGGGTACCCAAGGTCGAAAATATCGCAAATTTTAATGCAGATGACTGATTATTTCTGTAGAAATTTTCGATTCCCGTATTTTCAGGTGTTCACGTCTCTCTAAATTTTAGAACCCAGACTTACCAGGTGTAAATGTGCCTTCTTAGCCTGAGAACAGCTATGCCACCGGGCCAAATTAACAGACATAGCAAGCATCATGGCGGACTTTCCTCAAAAAGGCTAATCTCCTTTTACCTCTTTCATTTATCTCTTTCCTTTTTAAGTCGAATTTTGTAAAGCTATTTTCCGTGGAATAATGGCCGAATTTCAGGCAGTGATAATGGCGGCTGGCACTGGGTCTCGTATGTTTCCTTTGACTGAGAGAATCCCTAAAGCCTTGTTACCTGTTGGAAATTTGCCACTGATATGGTACCCAATTAATTTGCTCGACAAAGCAGGATTTGAAGGTAAAAGGCAAAGCTGTGAATTATTTGAGCCCAGTAAATGATGTAATTTATCCTGCGCATTAAAACTTGTATCATCCTTCCTGTTATTTAAAACAATTGTTAATTTTTGCGAAAAGAAATGTAGACACGTTTGTGCATGTGCTGAAACCTCCATAGAAAGCTTTGAAAATCCAGGAAGTTTAATTTATCCAGGATAAGGATAGGGTAAATTCCCCTTATTGATGTACAGCTGCATCATAGGATGTGAAAGAGAAATAATTTTATTCACAGGGGTTTCAATGTTTCCTGCAAAGCCTGCAACAGCTCTCTGCTACTATTTTATTTTTAAGAATTCTTTAGTCTTCCTCTCTGATTATAGATAATAACATGATTTTGACTGAAATTTGGTGTTAATAAGCTCAAGTAAAATTTTTCAAAGACAACAAAATTGTGGGCAAGTGTATATTGTAGTCTTTGAACAATTACATGTGGTTAGTTACACCAAATTGCACTCAAAATCATGGTATGTTATTATGTGAAAAAGCATCAGAGAAAGTCAAGACAGACTTGTGTGGAAACTTTGCACTTGTAAATACAGATTCACTATCTAAGAGATTTTCAAACTCAGAGATTACCTTTAATCTAATCAGACTTTCTGCAGTATTAAGATCACCAATCAGTCCTTGAATGAGATGCCTTATATGTACTAAATAATTTCAAGTTTAATAGAGTGTATTCCTGTTTGAGCTAATTGAGCTTCTTGTTTCAGCTTTGAAATTTTTGAGGGTTTTGTCTCCAGTAGCAGCTTTATTGAAACATAGTACTTATACCATATAGAAGATCCGTCTGTTGAGCTTCAGCTCAACATCTCAAAACATTGCTGTTACTGTTGACAGGGGATTCTTGTTCTTTTGCTTTCTGGTTTCTCAGGCAGTTTTTCATGTTAAAGCATGGTTTTTTTTTATTCTGGTTTAAGCCCCCTCCCTCTTCCACTTATCAATCCTTTCAGTTTTAACCTCAGCTATGTGTAAAAACCAACTATGATGGCACTGCCTGGCAACTATCTCAGCTTATAATCCTTACCCCTCCCTTGACCTATTGTTTCCTTCACTTGATAAAATCATATTTGTTCACTTGAGTTTAACTCTGATCTTGCCTTGTCTTCTGTGTTAGGAGGCACTTAAGTCATTGTTGCCCTAGTAGAAAGGTGATCATTGTGGAGAGACTTAAATAAGAGCAAAAGTAATGCTTGCCTGTCAGAAAAGGGAAAACAGTGGTCATAAGGGAGGCAACTGTTTTGGAGAGGTGGCTGTTCTAGATTGAGCTTCCACTGTAATCATATGAACTTACTGCTCATAAATCATACAAATATATTGTTCTCTAGTTTTGTGTAATTTGAAAATGTAATAGATTTTAAAGTGGAACAGTTGTATCAGCTAGAATCAAGATGCAGATGCTCTTGTGGTTTCTTTTGCAGAGATAATCATTGTAGTGTTAGACTCAGCCTTGACAAGATTTCACCAGCTTCTACCAATTGTCTGTAATCCTAGACTGAAGCTTGATTTTGTCACTATTCCTGATGATGCAGATATGGGTACTGCAGACGCACTAAGATATATTAAGGATAAAATAGAGGTCAGTGGAGAGATTTAAATGCTGTATGTGTATGACTTTGTGTAACAAGTAACAATTTTTAGTTGAGTGCTGTTTCTTGTTTGTACATGTTTAGTAATGCTTGCACCAATTACAATCATTGGTGATCAATAACTGCTAGTAAAATATTTTGAGCCATGGCCATTTCAGGACTTAATCTTTCTCAGTATCATTAAGAAAGGAAAGTTACAGATAGTAGACACCATAGCATCAATGTTGACTGCTTTTTTTTCAGAAAGACATTTTTGTTGTAAGCTGTGATCTTGTGACAGACATTGCTCTTCATCATCTTGCTGATATTCACAGGAGTCATGACTCAACTGTCAGTGCTTTTCTCGCTCCTGTTCCTCAGACAAGTGCTGATAGAGAATTTGCTAACAACCCTAAAGCCAAGAAGAAGACAGATAACACTGGTATAACTTACCTTCTCCAATTATTGTAATCTTTCTGGCACAATTGAAGTTATTTTTTGTCTGGAAAAGATGGCTCACATAAAAAAGTTCAGTAAATTTGATATAAAACTAGGTTATAATAAAAGATCCACCCACCCCCAATGACTTACCTGTTCAAAAATAATTTTAAAAGGGGAGTTTTATGGCTCTTTAAGTCCACATGAGTGGAAGTTTGTTTGGACTTGGGAAATTTTTGAGTCCCTAATAAGTAATCAAATTTCACTGTGGTATTGAACTTGGTAACAGATATACATCTAGTGATTCAATTGAGTCAACTCCACTTCAGCAAGTCAAGACAAAAAATTTTGGGCCAAAACAAATGCAAACTATATTCACAGTTTAGAGCTTGGTTTGTGGAACATTTCAAATTAAAGAACATATATTTGACAAAGCAATAAACAGGAAAAAAGATAGAAATGTGAAGCACCCAATTGAGGTTAGACTGTCTCTGTGTAAATTACATGTTTCATTAGTGTAATAAGAGAAATTGTGTACTTATTCTGTTATGTTCTAACTTCTTTATTTGTAACAGATCAATATGACTACATAAGTATTGATTCCAGAGAAAGTAGGCTGTTATTCTTTGCAACAGAAGCTGATCTTGATGAAATCTTAGTGATCCGAAAACCACTTTTAAAAAGGTAAGGTGTAGGGTGTTATCTTTGGAGTTTATTCAAAAGTCTCCTTTCCTTTGGCAAGTAATAATTATAGATTACTTTATGGTTGGTGAGTGCAAACAATTTTTTCTTGAGTTGTGGAGAACTGCAAACAAACAAGCAAGTCTTCAAGCATGCAACTTTGCTGTTTGTCACAATAAGTGAATAAAAAATGACCAAAATTGTATTGAGCTTCTGGTCATACTGTATTTTCTCTAGTGAGGAAAATCATACTACTAATGGGATTGCTCCTCATCAAAGAGACATGATGATGTTTATCAAAATTTGCACAGAGTTAATCTCAATACTCATATAATAAGTACTTGGGTATCATCCCTTGACTTATGATCTTTTATATTGTCCTAGATATCCTTGCATTAACATTGTGAAAAATTTAATGGATGCTCATTTGTACATAATAAAGAAATGGATTGTTGACTACTTAGCAGAAAACAAGTAAGATTCTCTTATTATAGCTGCATTACATATTTAAAGCTTATTCTACCTACTGTGATTCAAGGGCTGCCAGGTTGCTATAGTTTTTTGTAGTTGCTTAAAATTAGTTGATCTTTGTACTTTTCTTTGTGGCATTGCATGCTTTACTATTGAGTAAAGATTAACAAGGAAATTGTATGGAAGCAGAATTTTACATGTTATTGAGTGAGAGGGAGACTGATTTAAGTCTTGCTTTTACCAGTCTTTCCAAATAATAGGGAAAGTATGCCACACTAGTTCTTTAATTAAATTCCTTTAAATGAATGTAATGTTTTAAATATACTGTTTTACAAGAACATTTTCATACTTGATTTTGAATATAATCGCAATGTCCATTCAACTTCCTTTAATTTTCAAGAAATTTGGTTCTGTTTTTGAATTCTTGATATTTACAGTTATACTCTCACATTAAAGAAAGAGACCCTTATAGTAAGGTCACTTGCTGCTTGTTACTTGCATGTTACTGCTTATTGAGCTATAAATCATGTTAAATCAAAGTTCAAAGAGAAGAACACTGGATAAAGAAGCAAGAAAAAATTCAGGGCCCAAATGGCTTCAAAGCTCAATCAGAAGCTCATCTTACTAGTTCCAAAGATCTTATTTTTCCACTTGTTTTGGTTCTCAAATGTTACTTTTTTAATGTAACCTTGGGGGTATCTTGCAGGTCGATTAGTTCAATAAAAGGAGAGCTTATTCCCTTTTTGGTAAACAAACAATTTCAGAAGAACAAGAAAGCGAACAAAGTAGATCCAAAATCTGTTAGCAGAGTTGTTGAGGAATTCAGTAGCATCAGACCAGGTAGGAGTTTATAAGTGGAATAAAGCCAGTTTGCTATGATTTATTGAGTGGCCAACACACATTGATCTCCAGTCATCCAAGTGAGAATTGTATTGTGTGTCATCTAGGGGATGTACCAATATCACTGCCATGAACTCTATTCCTAAAAGCCTCCTTTTAATTCTTAGAGCTTCTAAGAAGCAAGGAGCTCTGAACATTTTTACTTTTGATATCGTTTTTGTTTTTGTCAGATATTTATGACTTTGCCAAAGAGGATGATATTATGTCATACACAAGACAATTGTCCTCATGGAGTGGCACACTGACAGACATTGATCACTCTAACAGCATCAGATGTCATGCCTATGTCATGGAAAATGGAATCTGCTTGCGAACAAACACTATTCCACTTTATGTGGAGGCAAACAGACAGGTCCTACTAGAACTTTTAAAAATCATTCATCTTGTCCGTGTTTCTATTCCTTTATTCCAAACTCTTCTGGTAATTTACTCTAATTCCTGAGTTTAAGTTTAATATTTTTGTGTGACACATAGTCTTGAAAATTGGATTTAAAAAGATAAAAAAGACTGACTATTAATTTTCCAAAGGATGTTTTGGACAAACTTTCTAGATATTGTATTTTGTAAAATGAGTACTCGGGCACCAAATTTCAGATCTTATCTCTGGTCAGAAAAGTCAAATTTCTCAGAGCTTAAAAAGTAAATAACCCTTTGACCCCTAAAAATGACTGGCACCTAATTTCTCTTGACAGTATCACCCCTGTCCTACAGAATGATTAATTGATCTGATTTTCTGTCTCTATGGTTGACTGATGTTCTGGTTTGCAGCTTGACCTAAAAAATTACGGATAGGTTGTGTGTCTGTCCACCAGTCTTTGTAACACATCTGGTAAAGCTTTAAGCATTAATTGAAAATTTTTATAGATGTGTAGATAATTTTTTTCAGATACCGAAGCTTCTTCCAGGCTTTACATCCAAGGAGATTACCCTTATTCACCCATTGGCTACAATCAAGCCCAAATCACAGGTATTTAACACGTAAGGCAGTCAAAGAGGGCATGGTCATTATTCATTTTTTTAGAGGATCAAAAATAGAGATTTAAGATGTCATGAAGCACCAGAGGTGATATGACTAAGCCTTCCTGCACTTAAACACATGCATTTGCAGTTGTCACCATCTTGCATCATCTAAAAAATCCAGTAAATTTTGGTCACCAAAGTTTGTTGCTTCTCAATTAAAAGTTTTTGTTTGTTAACCTCCTCACCAAAAAAATAACCTCTGTGTTTTCCAGGTGGGAAATGATTGCATGGTTGATGAGAGTGTATCTATTGGAGAGAAAGTTTCAATAAAAAAATCTGTTATTGGAAAGCATACAGTGATTGGAGAAAGAGTCAAGATAAGCAATTCTGTGATCATGGATCATGTCACAATCATGGAAGGGTAAGGATGACATTGTGAGGGGTTCACTTGACCTGGTAATCATTTGTCTCATGATAAAGCTACCAGTGGAAATAAAAACTAATTTTTCCAGGCAGTGGAATAAATTATTGTGTTAAGTATAGTTTCATGAATATATTGCTATTTTAATGTGTTTTTCTCTTATATTGAAATACCTTTCTCAATTTAAATGTGGTTGAATACCCCTGCAGTTGAATATTTATTTTTTGATATGCAAATAATGTATTGGAGATGATGAGTGACCAGGCCATTATAAAGAATGTAATTTTTTTATGTCACTAGTTGCAATGTACAGGGTAGTATTATTTGTACAAATGCACATATCAAGAAGAATGTTAGTCTCAAAGATTGTCAAGTTGGAGATTCTCACACCATTTCAGAGGGAGGTTTGTATTTTGTTACCTGTTTATTACTTAATATGACACTTCCTGGCCACCATATGTGTTCAGTGTTACTCTCAGGTTTTATTTATGGAATTTTAAATTGAATCAGTTTCAGTAAGCTTTGAAGCTCTAACATGAAATGTGATTTGCTGTTTAAAGCATGTAGAGGAAAAAACTTTTTAACTTGCCACTTACAGAAATTCATGTAATATCAAACTTTATGAATTGTTTATTTTTCAATAAGGGATTTTTGTGATGTAGAGCGTTTTCATGAGCAATGTCATTTATACAATTTTTCTATTTATTATTCTTGATTGGACCATCATTTACAGTAATCTAAAGGGGTTCCCTTTGTTTCCCCATCTGAGAAGTAGTTTACGATGATAAAGGATAAGATTTTAGTTTATAGTGGGAAAAAGTTAATTTGCTTCAGTCATATATTGATTGCTGTAGTATATAAATTTTTTCTTTTTTTTTTTTTTTTGATGCTTCCAAAACTTGTTGCGTGTAACTTAGTCTAACACCCTTTGAAACCATCTCAAAAACCCTGACTCAACTGGTAGACATCCGCAGGCCACCATATGATAGTAATCATTGAAATATAAGATTTCATTTGTAGCATACAACAATGTTTGTGGAACAGATTTTTTTGTCATGAATCCCTTTTTGATCTTTTTAACCTCTCTGTCTGATTTTCCCTTCTTTTTCCAGCTGATTTGAAGGGGGAAGCATTGATTGCTGAACATATGATGGACTTTGAGTAGGGAAAACAACCACAGCATGTTATTTTTGAATTGAAGAAACAGCATCTTCTCATATCTGAATATGCAAAGCAATCTGTAAAAAAAGGAAAACTTCAATCTTGATAAACCTAATTACTACCATTACCATTAACTGCCTATTTTGCAGTTTTTGTTGTCTTCTTAACAGACTTTTGAAAACCCAGTACACATCACAGTAAAATTATGATCTGAAACCATCCACTTATTCTGAGTTTATTTGCTCGTGTGATATACCTGGTTATAGCATAGTTAGTAGAGGAGACCTCCTCTACTAACTATGGTTATAGTGTGAAAAATATAAAGGGAATGTGGATTGAACAAGCTTGATAAACATTGATGGTAACTGCATTCGAGGAAACAAAATAAAGGTTTTTAGATTTCTTCAGCAACACACTGGTAGGAAGTTCCCCACCCACCCACTTCAGATATCTCTGGGTAAATTATATGAACACAAATTTCAACTTGTCCGAAAAGTGAAAGTATTTTTGTTATTGATCATGGCTTTGTTTTTTTTGTCTTGATACATTCATTGTATTTACTCTACATATACAGCAAAGAGTAACTTTGTCAAAGCACTAGCTTGGGCTAATTTATAATGATCAAATTTTATTTTTTGGAAGAATGCAGTATACCTAAAATGAAACTGTTTTATACCTTAGAAAACTGCACTATAAGCAATATGTAACAGTTCTTCATACTGCTTCTCCTTGAGGGCCAGTTCCAGCAAAAAATGTCCACATTCTTTTAGAAACCAGTTTATGTTTCCAAATACTCCAACATGAAGAAGGAGCTGTACATATTGGGAAAAAAGTAGTACTTGCCTTTAAAGAATCACTCTGCCTCAAGTCATATTCTAAAAATTTTTTTGAAGCTAAAGTTTATAAAACTTTTGTAAAGTTTTCCTCTGCTACTTTTAAATATGAAATTATCCATATTGTTTTGCCCATTGATCTGACTTATTTTTGCTGCAGTTTTAAAATAATAATAAAATGCCCTGGAGGACAAACATGTCTCACTCTCAGTGCAAATTACTGAATTGGAGTGGTGCTAAAATCTCAGCTCCCAATATAGTTCATTTAAATTTTACAGTCTAGCAAATGGAACATAATTTCTCCATTTCATGATAAATTGTCGTATGACCAACTATTGTAAAAGGCCAACTGCTTTTAAATTGGCTGTACTTCCACACATCACCAAGATGGTATGTCTGGGACTGGGAAAGAAATCTTATGAAGTTAACCGAAAAAAAAGGCGTGCTAAACTATTTGGATATTTCCTCCACAGGGCCAGCTAGTTCGGTAAAGGCAGAAAGGAGGACAATGCCACTCTTAAACGCCTTGACTGTCTAATCTTATTTTCGCAATTTATAAGGTGAATTACACATCCTACTTAAATTCAGTCAACAGTCGTCCAATCTTCTTCATCTTTGATTCCACTCAGAATTTCTTTGAGTAACCCGTTAAATTCCCCGGCATTGTCCACGTGTATGTCATGACCAGCATTTTTCACAATGAACACTTCCACTGAAGAGTTTTCCCGGATGCATTTTATCTCGTAAGCTGTGCGATGGTCAAAGAAGGTTGACGAGCCATACATGACTGTCATTGGAATGTCTTCGGGTAGTTCTTTCACTCGTTTGATCATTGGTGATTTCGCCCACATTAGTAAAATATTCATGTTTCGAAAGGCGTCTTCTCCTGAAGGTCTTTGCGCGTTGCAGTGGTAGATATACTCTTGCATTGCTTTATCTTTCCACAGTTCCGATGCTCTCTTATTACTATCATACTGCGCCAGACGAGCCAACCATGGCCCAAATGGGCCAGCAGCTCTTAACGGAGAAAGCACGTTGCATATGTTGACGATGAAATTCCCGAAATGAATCCACCTTGGCAGTAAATCAGCTCGCTGTTCAACATCTGGGTGTCTGTCTACAATTCCAGCGGGTAAAATAGCAAATCCCCATGCGTCAGACAGAATCAAATGCTTGATTCTCGAAGGATACTTCAACGCATAAGCCATTGCTAAATAACCTCCAAGACTATGGCCCAGAAGGATCATTTTTTCTAGTCCAACGACCTTCCTCCATTCCTCGATGTAATGAACAAACTCTTCTTCCGTTGCTCCGTCGTCTGTCACTAACTCAGGCCTTGAACTTCGTCCAAAACCAGGCAAGTCGAAGGCATAAACACTACGCTCTTCACTTAGGTCGTTAAAATTTTGAGCCCACCAGCAGATACCACCAGACAAACCGTGTAGCAAAACAAGAGGAGGTTGCTTTGACGGTGAAAGATTTACTTGCACCGTCCACAGATCGATATCTGGTCCAACACGAATAAAATTTCCAACCCATGGTCGCTTTATTCGCTCGAGGATCCTGCACTCGGCATCTTGAAGCTGTTCCTTCGAAGTCGGAAACCAATAACCCGATATCCAACTCGAAATTGATTGAATAAGGTCACACATGGCACGAATGTTTGCAAGGATAATTTCAGAGAATTGAAATCATTAACAGACAGGGCAAAATCAATTTGGTTTGGTTTATTTACATTAAAATAATTTTAATTTAATGATATCACGTGATCTCAACTCCCGCTAAAAGCGACAGGTGGACTGAGCGGCTAGCGGTTCAGTAAGCAAGGCGCATCTTATTAACCCTGCGAGAGAGGACAAATTTCGTGAAAGTGTTTTCAGTTTTCTAATTTGATTAAACTGAGATTTTGACGTTAACGCATCAACGTTGTGAACCTATCAAATCATGTTATCTTTAGATTTGTCAAACGAACAGGCTACATCTCAGTTGGCTTTCTTCCTCAGCGCACGAAAATAAACTAGTCATTCTTGATACTATTTGCCATATGATAAATAATTTATTGATCAAGCTCGTTCTGTCAAGATGGTTTGGTGTTAGCCTCGTTCTTTTTTCCGACTCCGAGGAATTTCCATCCTCAATCTCTTCTTTTTTTCTCCCATTGCAGTGCCTGCTGATTGAGGGTTTTTTTTCCTCGCGGCTCAAAAGAGCCGAGGCCTCGGCCAGCTTTAATTGGTCTCTCGCGCAGTTGTGTTTAAATCTCTCTTTAGAGTCCTGGGCCCATGTTTGTTGTGGATGGCGGTGAGACAGATTATGGCTACGAGCCACAAATTTATACACGGCGTTACGGCGTCCAAAAGACATGAAGAAGCGACTCGGGCACTCGTCCAATCGTACTGGCTACCGCGCATGCGTTGCTCTCAAAACTTGAGAGAGGCAGAGAGTAGGGAAGAAGCGTTGATGAAGGCCATATATGGCAATTTGAGATGTAATAGCTCACCTCTAACACAATTTTTCCTGAAGTCGAACACGTAGGACAACGTTGAGAAGGACCCCACATAGCGTTTCGCTACTTTTAAATCATTATAATCATGCTAGATAATGTTTCTAGGAAATGAGGTCAGAAACAAGTGGGACTCATTATAAAATACCAGATGAGGTCAAAACCTGTGTTTTAAAGTTTCAGAAATTTTAATACCTCTCTGCTCACAGCAGAAATCAGGTCTTTTTTAGTCTTTTTTTTTTTCGTTCTCATGAGTATTCCAAGAAAACCTAGGCCTTAGACCGCAGAGAAACTCAGACCCCTTTACGTCTCAATAAGTCTGACACTCGAAAACCCCAGATCCCTGGGTGTGTCGACAACTCTGACCTAAGAAAATTCGCACACCTTTGTTCCAAATGATTTGCACGATTTCAAAATTTGTCACGCTAAACTAGTTAATCGCGAAATCTTTATATCGAATAAAAGCTAGCTTCAGTCTCTTACGGAAAAATGAGAGATACAGCGAAAGAATCATTTCTTTATCAGATTGCTTCATATACAAGATCATAAACTAAGAGTTAAAAGAGGCGCAAAAACAACATAGCACACGTAGCAGTAAAACGTGACACAAGGTTCTTCGAACCTTTACAGCTGAACTTTGGCTTCACCGGGTAGATCTTATTTAAAATCAAACTTTGTTAGCATTTGCCCGTGAGTGCTGTATTTTTCGATAATGATGAGTCAATTTACCATCACGAAACGTTATAAAGGAGAGTGTTTCAAGTGTGTCGAGGCGTGCAAAAACAAATCCCATGTACATGTTTTCTTTGTCTGGTGCTGTTAAAGCTGTCCACGCGTAGTCCTTGTCTGACATATACAATTTTTACGACCGTGACCGAGATTTATAGCCAGAATCTGTGTTGCAAAAGTTTAAGCAGTTTCAAGATGTGTTCTCACATCATCCATGTTTAGTATTTCGAGTGGCAGGGCGACAAACTGCATCGATCGTGATGCGACGCTATTTTGATAAATTGCTGCTTCCGGAGGAAGCTGATCTTAATCAGCTGGTTTTAGTGAGCACGATTACATGAAATATCACGTTGACACAAACGCAACAGGATAAATCTAGTCAAAGTAATAGGGAAGATTTTGCTGCTGATGTAAAATTATCGAGTATTGAAGATTTTGAAGGTGAGCCGTGTATTAAGCATGAAACAGCAGTGCCATTTCAAACTTCAATTGACCACGTGGAGGAATAAGTTGTTGAAATCTTGCTCACGGCCCTCACCGATCACGTGAAAGACACGCAAAATTCACGCATTGTATAGTCACGTTACTATTGTGTTGGAGGTTTCTTAAACGCACTTAGTGCTATTTTCATCCGACTGTTTGTCCTTTTTGAATCAAGCTCAGATTTTTATTGATCGTCATTTAATATAGAAACATATTAGAAACCTTTCAAATTTTTCTTCAGCACGCTGACTTAAAATGAACTTTGCCCAGTAAATATTAACGTTCAACGCAAACAATCTCCCACGCCGGGTTTTTCCGAATTCCGGTTGGCTGACCCACACGTGACCAATAATAACAATTCAAAGTTCAAAGTTTTCTTTACAAAGTTTCGTTTACCTAGCGCGCGAAGTTGTAGTTGATCGAGCATTGCCCCGCGTGACTATCTCCGTTCTCTTGTCGGCTATTAAACATTTGAAATTTCCAGGTTTATCTTCGAGGCAGAAAGATGACAGAAAGCAACCCCCTTGTCGAGAAATACATGAGCCTGGATCAAGGAGGTCAAGTCCAAGTCCTGTACGTGTGGATCGACGGCACCGGCGAAAATCTGCGATGTAAAACTAAGACCGTAGAAAGTGAACCGATCACACCTCAAGATCTTCCCGTCTGGAACTTTGATGGCTCGAGCACTTTTCAAGCCGAAGGCTGCAACAGTGATGTTTATCTTCATCCAGTAGCATTGTTCAGAGATCCTTTCAGACGGGGAAAGAATAAAATTGCACTCTGCGAAACGTACAACTTCGATCACAAACCTGGCGTGTGCAACCACAGATTACCGTGTAATAAAGCCATGGAGCATGAAGATGTTAAGGTAAGGAATTGTATAGAGTTTCTTAACACGTGTTGTGCTTCATCCGTCGCGATTAACTCGAGAAAAGCTTCGCTTCATTTCGTTAGTCGGGCATTTTGAGTCTTGGCCTACCTCGTGTGCGGAAACGCGGCATGGTAGACTGATTTTTCACTTTCCCATTGCCTTACCGATCAAGAAGTTTCTTAGTGTGGTTAGTAACACAGAAACAATGCTAGTTAATGTTATTTTCAATCACGATTTATGTTACCTCAAATGCGATTCGGAGAGGAAATGGAACTCGAGGGACAAGCCAATTTCTGTGAGATGACGTCAACATCTGGCATTTCTCTAAGACCTGTCTTTTTTGTGGAATTAGAAGAATGGTAGACAAATGTACGCTTTCCTCCCCTTTTGAATCACGAAGTCCTCTTATCTCGAACGTTACCAAATTTCCGAAATGTAATTTCGCCGAATTAAAGTAATATTGTCAAGAAATTGTTAACGAGCAATATTTCTTCTGTGAACTTGGTTGGCGGCATGTTGCGCAAGTCTTGGCATCGACAAATGTATCTTTCATGAGGACAGTGAAAGTTGTCATGGGAAATTGACATTTTATTCGCCTACGTGTCTGCTTGAGCTTTCCATCTCATATGATCAGCAATTCAAAAGGACATAGCAGCCCTTTTTTTAAATTATAGAAACCTTTGTTTTCCAAGGGACGGAATTTATCAACTGATTGCTTTAGCCGTACTAGATGAAAATGTGCTCGTACCGATTTACTTCCCGCCTTCTTGAAAAGACAACATTGACCTTGACATTCTTGTTATTAGGCGGTCATGGGTTACGAACGATTGGATATTATGCGAGCTCAGTCTATAGAAGGGTGTCTGTGAAAGATATTTATTTGGTTTGTCACCAGCTTTCTTGCAAGGGGAGTGAAAGTTGTGAAGAATGGCAAAAGAACACGAAATATTTTGATACTTTACTTCACGGTTAGGCTAGACCACCCAGAAGGAGGCTGTGTTAGGGAACTTAATCAATTTCTTCCCCTTTTTTTGTTGTTATTCACCTCTGACTCGAAAGGATCTCTTAGAATTTCCTCAGAAAGAAATAAGGGCTTGATTTTGGAGGACTTCAGATTTTGCGTTTTGATCACAAAAGAAGGCAAATGTTCAACCTTTTCTTCAAAAGTGATATTTATGATAAACATTTGTCATGAGTGTGGCATATAGAATAAATGGAAATCTCCCATTCAAGGATGCCAACCTTTGACCTTATTTTGTTTTCAAATGCTATACCACCACTGCATTCAGCTTTGTACATTTAAGATAAAGGAATGTTTCTTTTTTTTTCTTGTTGTCCAATGCTGTGGAAAACATGTTTTAGATCTATCTTTATATTTAGGTTTTACTCTAAAAATACTCTTCAGTGATTTATTTTTTGCTTTTGCATGGCCAAACCTCAAATCTTGATTAAATATTCCATTCATATGAAGGCAGCCATACCATGGTTTGGTATTGAACAAGAATATACCCTATTAGACAAAGATGGACACCCTCTTGGCTGGCCAAAGGGAGGTTTTCCAGGACCACAGGGACCCTACTATTGTGCTGTTGGTACAGGAAAGGTTTTTGGTCGAGATGTTGTGGAAGCTCACTACCGAGCTTGTCTGTATGCTGGTGTAAAGATTGCTGGAACTAATGCTGAAGTGATGCCTGCACAGGTTAGGAAACATGTTGATGAAGGAAAAAACCTTGTTTTTTTATCTCTGACATACACATCAACCAGGCAAAGTAATTATGAGTGAGAAGGATTCCTTTGTTAATTTGTATATTTGCTCGTAGTTGTCAAAGTATCAGTAATTATTAGTAAATTTAATTTACCCTTTTTTGAGGACTGTGCTTGTGGTAATAATTTGTATTTGAGGAGATTAGATTCATAGTTTTTTTAATTTTTATTTTTTTCTTAAATAAAGGGTAAGCAGCAGTTCCGACATGTCTTTTGTGGGCCAATCAATTTTAAGCTTAAACATATCCTCCCCCATCCCTTCTGGCATTTTAACTTTTGAAGATTGGTTTGTTTAAATCCCTGCACTGTGGCCAAAATTGTGTTCAAATGCCTTTTCTAAATGCAGCATTAAGGGGTCAATTTCTCCTAAAAGGCAAGATCAGCGACCATGACTTTCTTGTAGACCTTTCCTCCTGAGCCATCCATTTGTGATAGTGAACTACTTACCTTAAAACACCTCCATTTTAAGAGTTAAAGCATCTGTATTCCTTTGGACAGGTTGACAGTTGTGGTTCAAATTCCCCATCCCATCTAGGCAAAGTTCTAATTTCCCACCCCCTGAGCATGGATGACTGTCAAATGCCATTGGGTTGCCTGTGAAGTTGGGAGGGGGGGGGTGTCAAAGCTTCAAATTTACCGTATATTATCAATGTCATTGAAGATGGATCATGACTGAATTCTTGTCCTAACCTTGCAGTGGGAATATCAAGTGGGTCCATGTGAAGGAATCAGCATGGGTGATCAGCTCTGGGTGTCAAGATATCTTCTTCACCGTGTGGCTGAAGATTTTGGTTACAAAGTCTCCTTTGACCCAAAACCCATGCCAGGGGACTGGAATGGAGCTGGTGCACACACTAACTACAGGTGAGGAGGTGTTGTATACCTATAACACAATTTGGTTATAGGTATACAACACTAGTATGAGGTGGAACAAATGTACAGCCTTAGGTTAGTGAACTTTTTTCATTTATGAAGTAGCACTGCAAATAACCTAATTTGAATAAATATACATAGATATACTTAATAGAATCAAATCTACAAGGGCCACAAGGTGACTTCTAAACATTGTGCATAATTGGATATTTCTGTTGAGTCTTGGTCAACCTCCAGGGAATGTCCTTTACAGTGACACAGACCTATCACTTGACCTACCAAATCCCCACAAGAAATTTATGGGACTCATTTATCAGATAAGCGAATAAACTAGGGATCTTGCCTATTGCAGTACACTTGCCATGAGAGAAGAACATGGAATAAAGGTGATCTATGAGGCCATAGAGAATCTATCCTTGCACCACGACTATCACATCAGCATGTATGATCCAAAGGGGGGAGAGGACAATAAGCGTCGTTTGACAGGTCGTCATGAGACTGCCAGTATAGATTACTTCTCTCATGGTGTGGCTAACCGTGGAGCTAGTGTAAGAATTCCCCGTCAGTGTGCTGAGGATGGCTATGGTTACCTGGAAGACAGACGTCCTGCCTCCAACTGTGATCCTTACAGAGTAACGGAGGCCATTGTGCAAACAACTATCTTGGGCCACAAAAAGAAGTAACATCACAACACTATGCGTGAAAGAACATGAAGTGTAGTAATTATTTTATTAACTTACTAAGCTTATTTTGGATTATCTTCTTTAGTAAAACAAGAGGGGGTAAGAGCACTCTTGAGTACATTAGCAACAGTTAAAGTTAAACATTGTTACCTTCCTTTCTTTATGGGTAGGAAAAAGATCTTTTAGATCACCATTAGGCTAATACCTAAATTGTTTAGATTCTAGTAATACAATTGTACATTGCATGAATGCCTCTAAATGTAGGAGACATGGAGAGATACCCAAATTGAATTTATTTATAAGCCACTGGGTTGAAAGTTTAGTTTAATAACAAATATTATAATTTAACTGTATTAGTTTGTTTGAATGGAATATTAAAGTGCCTGTTTACTATCTGACTTGAGTTTTGTTCGTGGCTCTATACAACCAAGGCTTTCCCCTTTACAGAGTTTGTATGGGTTGTGGGAAACCTGGAAAGTCCTGGAATTTTATTTCGACACTTTCCAGGACTTCTGCTCAACTCAAGCAATAAAGTTTAAAGAATTTACGTCATAAGAAATGAATGTAGACTGTAAGGAGAGTTGATTTTAAAATTCTAAGAATGAAAGGGTTTATAGTGAAATTTGGAGTCTTGGATTAATCAGTGCAAGTCCTGGAAAAGACCTCGGAATTTTTTTTCTCTGAGAAAGGGTACTATCCCTGCATTTACAGTGCTTCTTTAATAATGTGAGAAAAAAATTTCATCTATGTTTGCCACAGAAGTGATGTTTCAAAATATTTTTGCTATTGTGCTGAGCTTGCCTTGATCAATCTTCTCGGGACTCAAAAGGATTTCAATTTTGGCACATTTTGCTTGGAAGTTTCAATTTGATTTTCTTAAACGTTTGGTTTGATTAAACAGCATAGTGCCTTGTAAGTCATGAGTGTAAGGGATGGGGTGGGAGAGTTCCAAGATGAACAGTGAACACATTACAAATCATATGTTTCTATGGAAAGTTTTAATTGTCACTCTGGCTAAGTATGTGGAAATGCATTTCACCAGCAAATCTGTAAAAAATACAGTGCCTTTCTCTCTGTATTTTACTTGATAGACCCTTTATTCTTTAATTGGATAAAATAAACTCTTCTGAAATGCATTTAACCAGCAAAGGAAGTCTGTAAATACAATTTACAGTGCCTTTCTCTCTGTATGTTAGTTGATAAACCTTATTCTTTTATCGGATAAAATTAACTCTTCTGCTTCCACTGTGGCACCAATGAAAAAAAAGTAAGTGCTTTGTATAATAGCATGAATTTATTCAAGGTAGGGTTCAGTGGACTGTAAGTAAAACCTCTGATAGAACTATGTATTACGACTGGGCTGTTTTCGTTTAAAAACGATGTGCTACTAAGTCAGTGATACATTCTTATATGAAAATCGTGATCAATATTTACATCACCTGATAGCTGCAGGCTCAAAAAAAAAATTAACTGAATTTGATACTTTCTATGCATTTTTTTATATTTAAAACTGGAGACAATATTAAAATGCCAAATTTAATTTAGGTTGCCAAGGGTTAAACTAAAAATAAGTGTTTCAGGAATCTTGCAAAAACTGCTTCGAGAGCCTGTTCCGATTGTGTTCGGCAGCTTTTGAGCAATTTTTGGTGTACGGAGCAACTCTCTGCGATTCCAGCAACACCGAGAAATGTTTGTATATCTGAGAATTTTTCGCGCAAAGTAGAGGTGTAAAGCGCATTTCAAAATTCATATAAAACCTCAATTTATGCAAGTTTCTTGAATGACTATCAGCCTTCTGAACACATCACGCCAAATGACTCATGTATTTTGTTCCCTTACAACTATGAATATCCTTAAATTTCGCCCTTATTTTAAAGCAACCCTTTAAAGCTTAATTTTGAGCTATTTTTCTTGCCTAATGTTAGTAATCATTATGAAGAACGAATAAAACTTTTAATTACCGCTTCTTTGAAAATATCAAGAAAGTTAGGTCGCAACTTTCGGAATTTTGGTAGCAACTATTTGGATTTTTGATAGTTTCTTAAAAACTTTTTGGTATTCTAGTGAGAAACCTTAGAGCATTTTACGAGCACAATTGAGATAGGCCTAGTCGTCCGTATAAAGGGGTAAGTTTCTAAAGAAACTGTGTGATCGCTCTGACGAAGGGCTAACGCTCGAAATGTCAGCTTTTTTACCCTTTACGATGGCTAATTTACGTTTTCAACCCAGTTGTTAACACTAAATTACCTGCTAGTCGTCTGTAGTTCCGTTACAGGGTATCTTTTTATCTGTGCGGCGTTGGTTGAGCCATGGCTGGTCTGGGCTCGAGTGTACTGTTCCCTTGGTAACCTCTCTTGCTGTTGATAGAAGAAATGGCGGATTATTTTGGGTAAAGAGGCCAAACGTTTGTTTGAACGTCCCTTCAGGGCATTATAAAGGAACAAAATGACTGATATATTGTGCCGGTGGCTTAATGAAGATGTTAAGCTGAGCAGAATTATAGGTGAGATCCTGAAAACCAGTGTCTAGAAGTGCCCCACGAACGGGTGAAAGGTGCGCAACGTGCAACGAGTGGAGGATATACTTGTCTGAAAACAGCCTAAAAGATGCGCTGTGCTGTCAAATTATTCGATACGTAGGACATTAATCATGCCATCTTGCATAAGCTTATTTAAGAATTTTGGTTTGTAGCTTTTTAAACACAGCTTGCACTCGAGCTCATCTGCATGCAAAGACAATTCCGAAGATCTTACAGTTTCAAATACTCCAATGTGTCTTACTTGATGTTTTTAAATCTCACGTTAGTCAGAGTTTCATAGAATTAGAATCTCCATTGCGACCTTTCCTGATGATATTTGAAGACAAAAAAAATTACGTAACTGCACCATCTCAGGGAAATAAAATGAGTTTAAATTGTTAGATTTTAGTTACAAGTGCAGTGGCTGGAAAAATACGCGATACAGCCTACAGATAACAATTCAAAAGGCAGCTTTATTCTGTCATACATTGCTTGTCACCACGTAATGACGACGCTTTTTTTTTGGAAAATATCTCCACACATACATGTATAGGATAAGGTGTAAAACAAAACTAATCTGTAGCTTGATAATTTCTACTGGTGATTATGGAGGATGTTTCTACGTATTCAACCTGTTTGTAGCTATGAAGAAGTGCATCTGTATCATTTGTTATATACCTGATGACCCCTCCCTCCCCTTTATTACTTAAAGCTTAACTTTATTTATACATGGAAGATTCCAATAATGCCACTGACAGTAAATTTTTATGTTTAGGTTTTGGGAGAGTATTTACAAGTTACAATATATTTGTTTGAGTTAACGATCTCTTTCAGAAGATGTTTTTCTCGTCTATTAATCATTTGTCCTTACTTGTTAAATTTAGATCCCATAAACATTGCCAAGGAGTTTTCTACAGGTTTCTTACTTGGAGAACTCTTAAATAAACATGGTTTACAAGAGGATTTCTCTTTCTTCTCCCAAAACATGTAAGCAATGACTTTATGTTGAAATACATTGTTAAACTTTGAAAGAATATTCTGCCTCTCTAAACCCTAATTAGGTTGCAATTTTTAAAATTTTACTCTTAAATAATTTATATTACATGTAGCAGATACAACATAAGGTGTAGATTTGGACTCTTCACTGATTTTTTTGCATTTATTGTCAGTGATAAAATATATTAGAGTGCAACTAAGGTACATGATATTGTTGATTTGACGTTGATATGAAAATTAGGTAATACCGAATGTATCGATTTAAATATATAATAGATACTAATAGTATGCCTGAATTTTGAACAACATTTTCTTAGTGCCTAGTAATGTTTAGGGGAGGCCTAATGCACATATTTTATACAGATAGGCTGTTCTCTCAAGTAATCTTTATTTTCTGTCTGCATCTTCATCTATCAGTGATGAATCATTAAGTTTGACACCTTTTTACACTACACTTAAACTTTATATCAATAAAATATTGTTGTAACTAATTTCATGTTAACCATTTTTAAGCACTTCTGACTCAAAACTTCATAATTTCACACGGCTGGAACCAACCTTAAAGTTGTTGGAAGTTCCCTTTGATACAAATGTGGTAAGTAACTTTCATGTTTTCATTTGCTTGAAATAAATTGATAATATTTATATTTCTAATATTCTAAACATTATAGCAACTTGTCCTGTTGAAACAAAGAAAACAAAATTATTGAAACCTACAGTAGTTTGAGTTTCGAACTTGATATACTATTTCGTATATGATATAAACCACACAAGTTATATCACACAAAAGCACAATTTTTTTTATAACCAATGAATTACACATAAAAAGAGAAGCACAATGTAATGTAAACTTAGAATGGTCAATGTGCCAATTTTAGTGATACAACTTCTAGCAGCCTTTGATATGGTCCACCATTGTTATCTAACTGAAGCCCTTTGTTTTCTTCAGGCACAAGCTATCATGAGTGAGAATCACAGTGCTATCACAAGACTGATGTACCAGCTCTTTATAGCACTTGGAAAGAAATCTGTGAGTGTAATTAGTTGTGCCACTAGTATCAACAGGATTGTCACTAAGTGCCTACTGCCAGTAAAATTTTCCAGATAAAAAAAGCAGTGCATGGCAGTGGACTAAATTTTTGGCTAGCAATTGCTCATTAAAGCACAACATTCACTTCTGAAGTTACATACTTACAATCATTTGATATTGAATGATATCACCTCAGAGGAAATATTTTTATATTTTTTTGACTGACCTGAGTATTAGTGACACTACCACAAGTAAAAAAGATGAAATTAAACATTGTTTTTAGCATTTGTTTATAGTGATTTCTCTCCCTTTCTTGCACCCACCATTCAAAATGTTGTGAACCAGCAGAAGTGCCTCTGTTAAGGTACCATCTTTTAAGCCGCCTCACATGAAATTTCAGCTGGCAGCCTAACTTCTTAGCTGCAACCCTGTATTGTTGTTCCTAAATCTATTTTGTATTTTTTACCAACTTAGTTACTCAGCCACATGTTGGGAACAAGCTAAATATTGATGAGTTCTTTGCTTCCAGAAAGGAATCTGAACAGAATTTTTTAACCCTTTCACCTCTCATAGGAGTGTCTAGCATCTAATTTCTCCTTACGATATCACCCCGTAATTGCACATTAACGTCAGAAGAATAAAGCAAATGATCACCAACTAAAGAAACCTTAACTGTTTAACAAATTCTCCTTGTCAGCACCGTAGGAAATGTACAGAGAACAGTGTGGAGAATATGCATACTGATGTTAGGGTGTAAAGGGTTAATGAAGTGAATTTCACTTTGAATCTGGTGGATGCCTGGTGGTCAGGTGACACCCATGGCAGCTTGTGGTTACTCATGATTACTTCTAGATTGGAACCTTAGATATATCTAGGCCTCATGTGTGAGGTGTCATTTGTAGTATCAAGTAACCTGCAAAATGATAATATCTCAGGTGGTACTGAATATCTACATGCATCTTTTCTTACATATTGGTCAAAGTTGCAATTTATGAGGCAGTTAAATGGTAAACTTTAGTTTTGAAAAAAAATGAATCATCTATATGAAACTATCTTTGAAGATTGGAAATAAATAATTTTTGCCTAGGATTTTTGTCTCTTGTCATTAACTGTTATTTTATTTTGTTTCTTTATAATATATATAAGAAAATGGGACTAACAGGAGTTGCTATGGAAACCATGAGACCCAGTGGCCCAGTGAAGCTGGAAAGTATTGAAAGTGGACTTTACAAAGAGGTTAGTACCATCAGTCATAAGAATCATGTACAATATAAATTTAACAGTGGTATTGAAAGTTGGTCCATAGCTCTTCATAATTATTAGCTAAGAGATAACTTAATAGAGTCCCTCTACTCTCACTTCAAGGAGGACACATATGCAATGTAATATTCTTTTGTGAGAAGTCCTACCAAGCTAATATTAGAAAGTGATAAGTATACCACTAACATTGTGATATATACTTTTAATTGTGGAAGAACTTAGATGAACTGAATTCTATTCTGTCTTGTTATGAGTTAAGTGTTGGTTGACTGCAGGTTTGGTTCCTTGTATTTATGTTTGCTTTATCTCACATAAACCATGGATATTTACAGTGATCATTTGCTACTGTATTTAAACAAGTCTTTTTTTATGGTATAAATGCTGTGGTGAGCTTTGTAATTATTAATGCTTGACTTCGGTTAAAACTGCCTCTTACCTCAGTGGCTCTTTTTTAAGTTACATTTCGTTTTCTCTGTTTGACTTGAGAAGTACTTGTGTAGAGATCACTTTTTTGGTGAATCATTTATTTCAATAAAGGCGCAAGTAAAATGTGATTGTTTAGTGCTTTGCCAAGTCATGTACTTACAGTAGACAAATCAGAATAACACAAGAGAATCACTAATTAAAAGTTAGCCTCAAATTTCCGAAAAAAATAAAAAACAAAACGAGATTTCTGTACATGACAAACCTCACTATTACATAATTTCTGGTGCACAAAGTAGCTGGTGAAAAATGGTCTGACAGCTAACTCAGGTTTCTGTTGCCTACTAGCTTCTGATAGCAACCCAGCAGACAGCTATTATCCTTACTATTGTACAGTTGTCTTGATTAGCATGTAACCATTATGATCATACTATAACTGTAGAACTCAGCAAATAATTGAATGTAATTAGTTTTGACCTTGGTCCTGATGGCAGAGAGTCTTATTACATTTTGCATTTTATAAAGTATTAGTGAAAGGTACAAGTCCTATTTTAGTTTGTGTTTTTGGAAATACCTAAAATTTACAAAAATTGAGTTATGATGATTCTAAAATTCCTAGTTGAAATAAATTGTTACTTGTGCACAATGATTTCTTTGTATGTCATAATAGTCTACCAATAACATAGTGCATCATCTATCATCTTGTTCATAACTGATATCATAGATTATATGAAAGTTGAATTTTGCTCTAATTTTGATTGGTTGTTAATTACATATAATCTACTGGAGGACACTGATGAATAGAAGATGTCACCATGAATAACATTTTGGCTTCTGATCTCATAGACCAAATTGATTCCATGTTTTAGTAGGACTGTACCATACAATAGATTATGGAAGATGTCAAAATGTGGTAAGAACATCTGATTCAGTGACATGCTTGGCTGAGCCTCATGTGCCACTTTTTTGTTCTTACCACATTTTGACGTCATCTCTGATTTTACTACTGAGCAGATGTTGGAAACATGGAATCCATTTGTTGACTGCACCATCCATTCAGTTAAAATATACTATTTAATAATAGCCATCAAAAGGTATCTGTCGATCTTTCATGAAGAACTGTTATCTAGGTATGTTTCAATATTAAGTAAAATTTACCAAATTACACACAACCAACACATTCTTTGTCTGTTTACCTCAGAAAATTACCTTGAAACAAGACAGTGTGGCCATAGCTAGAGACCTTCTTCACTCAGCTGTCAAAAGCTTTGTGCATGAAGTTGCAATTGAAGCAATCCGTGATCAAATAAGTAACTTGGCAGTTGATCTTGTGAAGGATTTGCAGGAAATTTCTTTTGAAGTTGTTCATGACATGAGAACAGTTGTTGCCCAAGTTCGTGAACTTGGACAAGATAGAACTTTAAAAAAATTTGCTAGGAATATAATGAAAGATGTCTTATCCACTTCTCGAGTAGTTATGCAATTTATAAATGATCTTGATGATATAATCCAAGTTCTCAAAAATGTGTTTGAGACGACCATTAGTTGAGTGTTATTTTATTTGCTTTCTGTATTACCAGTAGCTCATAGTGCTCAAATTTTTGGAACATATATGTTGTGGTAATAGTGATTATAATTTTTTTTCAAATATATATGTAAATTTTAAAAGGAGAAGCCATAAATTTAAAATTCTTTGAAGTTAATAAATGAAAATAGCACACTTTAATACATGGTTTCCACAGATCTGTAAACTTCTTCAAGGTCAGGGTAAACTAAGGGAATTTCACTTTGAGTCAGATTCTTTAGTAAATTGCATGGACATGAAAGGTGTCAGACCAGTAGAATGATGTGTGATGAAACTAAATGACAAGCTGATGTTGGGTCTTCAAGAAAATCATTTCCCAAATCAATTCATATACAAAGTATGTGACTTGTTGAAAGCATACATTTATGTGTGGAGAGCATGGTTGAAGGCCATTATCAGAACTTGTTTGTTAAATTATTATTGATTCATCCAGTTGGGAAAATTTTATGTTTGTCAGGGAAAAGTCAGGGGAATCAAAAACTTACGACTGTGGCAGCCATTTAGTAGGTCATTGTTCTTTTAAGTTTGAGCCGATTTTGATTTAATTATGCAAGTGTATCTTAGGCTAAAAAATGAAGTGCAAAATAGTTACTGTCAGTATTACCCAGGTACATTATGAGTTAAATAATTTTTGATTTTAAAGCAAAGACCTCAAAGCTGATGTTGAGCCAATTAGATATCGTATTGATTTTAAACTGGAGAAGGTTTGCCACCTATATGCTTAAGGAAAAATTTACAATAGAAAAAACAAAATCAAAAGCAAGTCACAAATTGTAAAGGGAAAATCTTAGAAACCTCTCACATTTTTGTATTACATTATTGAATAATAAATTGGCTCCTCAGGGTATTTTCAAATAAATCTCCCTTCAGAGCTAGATTTACAAAATGAAACAAAGTTAATTTCTCTCAAAGTCTTCCCTCAAGATATTTACCAGTTTGGCTAATGACATAATAAGGCCTCTGTTTTGGGTGTCAATTTTTATGACTAATGTCATTACCATGGCTTAGATACCTTAATATCTCTACTTTCCCACTGTGAATCATCTTCATTCTTTGCCACATATTGGAAATTATATTATCTGACATTTTGAAAGTATAAAAAGCCTAAGGTCATCTAGATGGTTACACCAATATCCCCATAGCATGCATAAAATTTTGAATCCGTTGCCATTTTGCAATCTTTCCCCTAGTGGTTTCTTTTCTGTTGACCTCTTTTTTTCAGGCATAGAGGGTGAATGGATGTCATGGGTATAGTTGCTGGAAACCCTAGATTTCATTAGATAAAAGCTGTATTGTTTTGTATGTTGAGATTTTTTAAAGCTTGTACCATATGTGTAGTCAGATCTTGCATGGTCAAAAACCTTATGGAGCCTCTTTAAGTTTACTGCTGGTAAGTTTTCCCATGATGTCTTCCTTTTTTACAAACTGAAGGTGCTGTTTTTAAACATGTCTTGGAAGGTGATGCTTTCCCAGTTTTATTACCAAGCAAAACTACAACTTGTTAAAGGTGAACTTTTCCAGGAAATCATACTAATATAGACATGACTTTGAGAAGAAAATTTCTGCTTGACCTGAAGAGTTTGCATCAGCTACATACATCATTCCTCCCCTCCCCCCTTGCCCAAAAAATTTCATGAGTTTGACAATTTTTATGTAGCTTGGGAATTATGGGTACTCTAACTTTGGTCTCCATCAGTTGACTTAATAATTAGAAGAAGGAAAAATGATTAAAATCATACTCCATTTTTAAAAATTTAATTATACTTTTGCATGTTGTTAAACTTAATGAAGGAAACTCAATTGCCCTCAGTTATCTCCTTCCAGATATACATCAGATGTTAAAAGCATAACAGTCAGTCTTTCATACCCTAAGTGTGAACATGTAGGTTCAACTCTATGAACTCTATGTATTTTAACCATATTCTTCTTAACCATGTTCTCTAGTAAAAATAATTTGCTCCAAGGTGGACCATATTATAAAGTTAAACAATGTCTACCTACTGGACCATTTTCTCTAGTTAGACCATTTTAAGCAGTTGGAACATTTTAACTAGTCAGAACATTAGCTACAAGTTGGACCATTTTATATAGTCAGACCATTTCTACAAGTTGGACCATTTTATGCATCATTTTAAGTGGTTTGATCCTTTAAACTGGTTGAATGATTTTAATCAGTATGACCATTTGGACTTTGTTAGACCATTCCCATCACTTGGACCTTTTTTCATCAAGCAAGGCCATTTTGGACCATTTTAGTTAGTTGGATCATCTTATCCATTTAGACCTAACCATTTTTACCATCCGTTGTGCCCTTTTTCCAGTTTGGATTTTTTCTTTATTCTGACTTTTTTTTATCCATTTGAAATATTTTAATAGGTCGCATAATTTTAACTGGTTTGATCCTTTTAAGTTGGTAGACCATTTAGTTGGACTGAGTAAGACCATTCCTACCGGTAGGATTATTATATCTGGCTAGACCATTTTAACCAAGTTGACCACTTTCACCAGTTGGACCTTTTTTCCAATTTTGCTTCGTTAATTCTTTAAATCATTGTAACCAGTAAACGTGGTAGTATCCTCTTGACTGGTTGGACCATTTTAAGCACCTGGAATATTTAGCTGGGCCACTTGGATCTGGTCAGTTAGCAGTTAGACTAGTTTATCAAAGGAACTATGTTAACCAAATGGAACACTTTACCCAATTAGACCATTTTATCTCTTCAGACCATTTCAGCCAAATGGACTTTTTTAACAAGTTGGACCAATTTTTGACTTCAGACCATTCTGCAGTTGGACCATTTTCCCAAATTTTTACCACTTAAACCAATCAGATCATTTGCAGAAGTTGAACCATTTTATCTTGCAAGACAATTTTAAGTGGTTAGACCATTTCAAGTGGCTGAAAGTTTCTGTTTATATGTTATGGTTGAATAACTGTAACCAGTTGGACCATTTTCTTTAGTTAGACTATATTAATGTTCCTAATTTGTGACTTTCTAGTTATTAATGTTGTAAAATATTAGCTATAAGAAAAGGGCTATGTATTTCAGAGAGAACCGAGGCCTCTTTATGAAAACAAGCAAAGCCTTGCTATGAGAGAAAAAAGGGTCACTTATGGAAATTAAACTCATTTTCTTAAGAGAGGTTTTGCACTTGTCATTATTTTGAAAGTAATGATGGTACAGGCAACTGAGTAGTTATAACATTGGGCCATTGAGTTTGCAGTATGCCATCAGAATTAAGAATGTTATCCTTAAGGAGTTTTGACTGTTGTTCTTCACTTTAGCGACTGAAGCAGCTAACCAAACGTCAAGTGGATTTGAATTTTGAGCAACTAGTTCAGAGATACCAAGCCAAACAGAAACAGCAGGAGGATTTGGCATTTAAAGCAAAGTATGTTGTGACACTGATAACCAATTGTATAAAATTAGACACACAGTAACCATTTGATGCAAAAGTATGCTTGGATAATAGGCAACAGACAGCTGTTCTAAGTTTGAAACTCAAGGAAAACTGCAAGCTTTAAGAAACAGATAAGGTCTAAAGTAAAATATTTTAGCATATTTTATAGTGAAATGGAGGCTACTGCATCATTCAAATACTTTTGTAGTATCCCCACATTAACTTTTGTTCATTGATATTCATTGTTTAAGATAAAATTTCAACTTTTAGGTTTGAGGAAGAAGAAAGAATGAGAAAGTACCTACAAGGACAAAGACGACAAGGTTTGGACAAGGTAACATGGAAGGCTGCTATTACTGTAATTAACCTTCTTAAGATAACTGTGACAAAAGGTTTTTCACACTAATTCAACTTTTGGGAGGAATGCAACAATAATGGGGGAAAATAGCTTGGTGGAGACCACTTGCAGCAGGAATGGAAACTTGTCACAGTTTCCTGGCACATACAGACCTGCTTCAAGCAAACTTGCTACAGACATCAAGGATTAGACAGAGTTTGGTTCCACAGTAACTTTTTTTTAGTTCATGTCAACAACCAACATGAACTCAACTAGCATACTCAACTTCGTAATGGAAAAAGCTTCACAATGTACTTGCTTAAGTGAAAGACTATTATTACACAAATTTTGATATTTGAATAAGGTTATAAAAGGGTGTCTCTTTGTAGTTAAGCAATTCTACTTAATATTCCATCTGTTTGGAAAGAATTTAAAAACTAAGAGATACAATAGACTCTAGGCCATTAAAAAGAGCAAACTTCAGTCAACTTTCAGAGCTTTGATATTAAAAACACTTATTGTAGTTGTGTTAGAGTAGCTTAGGAAATGAAAGTGAGAAGTAGTTATAATTTCTACTTATCTATGTGATGTTGATGTTAAGTTTGGAACTGTTAAGTTTGGAAAAGCAGCAACATCAGAAGTTATTATATGAAAAGAAAGTGAACTTAAGAGCACAAACTGAGTAGTCCATGGCCTGGGGGTGAGTCACCCTTTTTAGAAGTGCTGTCTATTTTGTTAAAAGTGCTACAAGCTGCTAGGAGAGTAAGTTTTATTTTACTTTCTGATTGATTTCTTTTAGTCAAAACAAGCCAAACAAAAGCAGTTGGAGATGATGGGTAAAATAAGGTAATCAGAAGCAAACCCAGCCACTTTAGAACTAACCTGTAACTGCTGGATTTCAACACAAAGATAAGAACTCAAGCCATTTATCATATTGTGGCTGCATAGGGATTGGGACAGTTTTGTGCCACTATAAAGATTCAATATCTTGGAAGTTGATCTCAGGTTTTAGCAAGCTAACTTTCTTCACTTGATGATTTTAAATCTATGGTTGCCAGAGAGCACAAACCAATTTTTTTCCTTTTCTTGACAAAGGATTTGCCTAATATCTTTTTTCAATTTGTAACTTGATTTAGAGGTATTATTATCAAAATTAAGGTGGAAAAAGTGGTAGCCCAAAAATCCTCTACATCTGTATGTCACAATCAGCAGTCTTCACCAATACCCACCTGGCACAGGAAACAATTTATAACCAAATAAGCAAAACGTTTTTCATGCTCTCTGGTTACCTGTAATGGTAAAAAGCCAAGACTATGGGCTTTCCACCAAAAACTCAACAATCAATAATTGTTATATGTCATCCATTAATTAACAATTACTATGTCATCATTGATTAACAATTATTAACCAAAGTGGAGGTGAGTAGTGGTGGACATTTACCTTGCTGCTTTGCAGCTCAGTAAATATCCACCACTTTTGATGACACTGACCTGAATAATAACACCAAAAATAGTTTATTTCTCTCAACATACCAAAAAATGGTCAGAAATCAAACTCTTGTCACACAATTTGGTCTCATCAGCTACTCAGAGAGGATATAGTACTTCCTATTTACTCCCACACTAGCCAATTGGTGCACGTGAAAAGCACTATTCACTTGTGTGTGTTGATGTGTTGTTCTTTTTTTTTTCTTCAGGGATGCAACAGTGAGGATTCCCAAACCTCCTGATTCCAAGGTGAAGTTTACAGAGCTGTTATAACTTACAAATTAGATAATGTTTCAAATGTTCAAGTTGATCCCTGTTATTGTTCAGTGGACTTTGTTAATATAGGTGTTGCATTGAGGTACCTAAAGAAAAAAGATTGTCAATCCTTTCCTGAGTGTTGAAAATATAGGGCTATAGAATGGAGATGATTTATTTTTTGAAGAAACTATCACTAACAGTAAGGAGATAAGTGTTTTAAGTTTAGGGGAAACTGCCAGATACTGTTGCACCCTGACTCAGTGATTAGCTGAATTGTGCACAAATTGAAATCCTTATTGATATAATAGGCATTAAGGATGCTTGGTAGATGATTACTCATGATCCTTGTCAACACCTGTATTATAAGTTAATATATTGTGTCACTTAATATCTTTTGTTCCATTGTCTTACATTGTTTGAGGATTCTTTCAGTGTAAACAATAGATATGGAATAGAAGCTGCAAGTACACGCAGTTGAACTTCCTGTATCCTTCTATACCTGTTTATTAAGTGAGTACTCAAGTTTGTCATAAACTGAATGTTTTACCTTACCATTGCAGAAAACGGCAAAATCTCGGACTGAAATCAGACGTCAAAGGGAAGCAGAGGTGATAGGTTTGGATTGACTTTTGTACTGAAGCAAGGCCACATAGGGAAAAAAAAATTTCTTTTCAGCTCATTTGTTCTTTGAATTGTATTTTATAGATAGTTGAATGAAAGGGGGATTCTGGTGTGTTTTGAAAACAACCTTGATTTTAAGTCAACTCATGAATTTAACCTTAATTTCAATCAACCTTGAAATCAACCTTGATTTTGAAAAACAGCTTTCCACATTTTGGAGACAACCTTGATTTCAAGAAAACTTGAATTTTTCACAGGTGAATGATATTCACAGTGTCTCACTCATGATTTCTGATGAGAGTGTAAATATTATCATCTTGAACAATTCTCTTGAATGATTCTCCTGTCATGCCATCGATCAGGGTGTTGATTTTTGTGTGAAGATTTTCAATGAATGTTGTATCTTCTCACAAAGAAGTTGTGGTGTGCCTTGATTTGTTCTTCTGTCAAAAGAGTGCCTTTGTAAATGAGAAGAGTATTGACAGTTTCATCAATAAGTCACACTTTCAAGCTCAGGGTTGATGATGTTGAGCTGAGCATCTAAGGGGATGAAGATATGACATTTAACATTCCCTAAACCTGATACTTTCCTGTTGATTGCAAGCTGAACTCCTTCTTTCATATTCACCAATTTCAATCCACTTCCATGAAGCTCACTGTCTCTCATACTCTTGATGTCAGGATTAAATATCCTCTGACTGTTTCTAGCAAGAGTGACATATGGCTCTTTAAAATAAGAAGAAGTTCCTTCATTTACCTCCTTGGAACATGATACAGACCATTATACAGCAGCTCTTACGGTGAACTCCTAGAATTCATTAAAAGTAAGAAAGCAGTTGTAAATATTAAAAATGCAGATAATCATTGTTTCAAGTGGTTGATAACAAGAGTGCTTACAGTTGAAAAAAACCTTCAAAGGATCACAAAGATTCTCAAAGCATAATCTGAGAAGCTTGACTGGAGTGGCATTAACTTCCCTAGCAAGCTGCACAATGAAAGAAGAAAACATTGCAGTAAACGTGCTTGGTAATGAACAAGCTTCTTTGACGCCTGGCTGAAGGCTTGATTTTTATCCAATGAGGATAATGAAGTAAGCCTTTGGCTGGGCCTCAATGGGGCAAGCCTTTGGCAAGGCTGTAGAGTGGCAGAATAAAAAGAAGCATGTCACCAACCTTCTGATAGCAGATGATGAAAAGAAACACTACTGCCTGATAAACAACATGAGCAGACTATCGTGTCAAACCTCAAAGCACAACAATATTGTCTCAGGTGTCTGAATCACTTCTCAAGCAAAGAAAAGCATGCACTCCATAAAGAGTATTTCTCAAGGAAGGAGGCAGACAGGATTGAGATGCCAGATGAGGGTAGTGTAATCAAATTAAAGAATCATAACCGCTCAGTAGGAGTAAACTTTGTGGTTTATGTTGAGTTTGATTCTTCTACTAAGTAAATGAGTAATTGTGAGCTAAGCAGTGATAAGAACTTCACTAATCAGTATCAAAAGCAGAAACCAGGTGGGATCAGCTATCACATTGTTTTCTTTGATAGTAAGCTTTATTCACAAGCGCCAGTTATCTATAGGGTAAAGAGCAAGGATGAAGATGTTGGTCAGATCTTTGTTGAAATGCTTGAGGAGAAAATCAAGAAGATTTATAACGAATTCGACTTTGCCAAGAAGATGAACTTCACAGATGAAGAAAGGTGTGAGTTCAATGATGCAACACACAGCTGGATCTGCACTTAATGAAGGCAAACTGAGAGACCACTGCCATTTCACAGGGAAGTGTCGCAGAGCAGCTTACTACAAATGCAACCTACAATTCAAGAAGCTGAAGCTCATTCCTGTCATTATTAACAAATTGACTGGTTATGACTCTCATCTATTCATTAAGAATCTGAGCAACCCTTTGGGCAGGCTGTAAAAGCAAGGGAAACATCAAATGCATTCCCAAGAACAAAGAAAAGTACATCAGCTTTAGTAAAGAAGTCGTTGCTGGCCCGTACATCAACAAAGAAGATAAAGAAGCTGAAGTCGAGATTGAGCTTTGCTTTATCAACAGCTTCAGGTGCATGCCTTCATTCCTTGAAAAATTAGTAATTTTAGTCAAGGTAATCCAAGACAAACCAAGAAGGTCTTAAAAGCCTTCAGCCAGGGCTTGCAGGGGTAAGCCTTTAGCCAGGGTCTGTAGGGGTAAGCAGTCAGCCATGCTGTTGCACGGCAGGACAAAAGCCCTGGAGGGTCAGACAACATAGCTGCAATTGAGTTGATATCAAGAAAGGGGGTTTATCCATATAACTACATGGATAGTATCAAAAACTTTGAGGAACTACCACCTAAAGATAAGCTCTACTCTAAGCTGAATGACTGTGATATCTCTGAAGACTATGAGCATGCACAGAAGGCCTGGAAAGAGTTAAAAATGAAGATGATGGGTGATTACCATGACCTTTATCTTAAGACAGACCTACTCCTGCTTGCAGATGTGTTTGAAGAGTTCAGAAATGTCTGTCATAAGAATTATGGGCTCGACCCTGCCTGGTATTACATGGCTCCTGGAATGGCTTGGGATGCTAGATTAAAGGTGACAAATGTTGAGCTTGAGCTATTGAGTGACCCTGACATGCTGCTGCTGATTGAAATAGGAATTTGTGGAGGAATCTCCATGATCTCAAATTATTTTGCACAGGCAAACAACAAATATATGGGTGAAGCTTGTGAGGAAACAAAACCAACAAAATACATCCCTTAACTTGAGTTTTTCAAGTTGATGAACAATGTGGTCTTTGGAAAAACTATGGAAAACATCAGGAATGGTGTGGGTGTGAGATTAGTCAACAATGCAAGAAAGCACTGAAAATTAGGCACTTGTTTGAGGGAAAAGAGGAGAAAAAGTGTCGAGGGACTAAGAAGGCTGTAATATAGAAGAATGTAATTCATGAAGACCAAAAGGATTCCTTATTCAGTGGAAACACGCAAATGAGGAAAATGATCATTCTTGATGATTGTGCTGCTTTGAGAGATGCAGAGGAGAGAAGCAGAGGACGAATGAACTCATGAATTTAGCATTCTGCACAAGACATAAAGAAATCACTGTGTAGGTTCTCACACAACAGATAACAAGCATTGCAAAACCATTCAGAGAGACCACTGCTGCACTAGTTCTCTTCTACACACCATCTGCCAAGGATAGGAAGATCATTTTCAAGGATTAGGTAATTAATAGCGATGCTAAAAAGTGGTAAGTATTCACATCTCATATCCTCACTTCACCATCCTTATTGCATTGATCTTGAACTTTCATGAAAATATTTCTTAAATAAAATGGAGATGTCTGATAATGAAAAAGATACTGTTAATGATGTTCTGAACATTCTCAAGGTTGAACTCTCCAATGATTCAGAACATCAAGAGCAACTTGCCGTTCTTGTTGCAAGTGGTAAAGCAAAGAAAATGATTGGTGTATCTCTCACCTAGGATCAAGTCAAGAAGCTTACTCAACAAGATGTTGAGAAATACTTCAAGAGATATGAAGCTTCTTTGTCTTCAAAGACTTGTGATGCAATGATTGATACATTTCTCTCTCTCTCATGTTAAACATCAGCTCATTTTTTCCTTGTTGATGAAGGAAAACTTCTGAAGGACTTGACTGATAACTTCATGCTAAAGAGAGAACTTAGAATGATTGCCAGTGGATTGAGTCTGAAGTATGAAAGGGAGTCACAAGTGCTTTCCCACTGTCAAAAATGTTGAAGTACCTTTGGTCAATAATAAGGAAATAGATTGTACTTTTGAAGAAACTGATCAAGTTCTTATTAATTTATAATTTTATACTTTATACTTTGTAAATACTTTCCGCCAGGCCTCGTAGTGGCTTAACAGGTGACTTAAACTGACAAAAATAAGAGGAGACCAAATAAAGACCCGGGGCGTGTCACAGTTGGCAAAAAATGCTGAACATAACCAAAGAGTGAGAGAGAAAATGAGGAAGAGAGGAGGTTTAAAGCAATCCAAAGATCCAAAGGATCCAGATGCCAGAGGGGCAGGATTATAACCAGAACCAGATCCAGAAACATCATCATTCTCACTCACTCAAATTCTTTCAGTGGCAAGTGTCATTCTCTCACTGGCTGGACTGTACTATAAAAAGAAAAGAGTTGATGGCTCTCGTTAATGAACCACAGCCACAGGCTCAAGCACAGCAAAGTAAAACATAGCAAAACACACAAAGTCAAATTCCTGTGAGAGTAAAGTCGATGGATTGATTTTTTTCTGATTACCAAATAAAATGTCTGATAATAAGCTTATGAAGACATTGACCAATTCAGCCACTTTGACTGGATTTGCTACTGGAATCAGATGAGTTGCAAAGAGAAGAACTAATGACCTCTGATCCAAGTTAAAATCTCATGAACAATGTTAGGGTCACCATCATAATCACTGCATCAATCGCGGCAAAATGGTATCTTGAAGAACAAAAGATTTTGCCATCTTAAAAATGTTCAGCCAATTTGAATGAATGCAATTAAGTTAGCAGCAGTCTACACAATCATTGAGACTGCCTTAATATTCTATATCAACAAGGCAGAGGCAGAACTTTGTCCAAAGTTTCATGATGAATACTTGTTGTCAATTTTCAAAAAATAATGTTGAAGATAAATAAAATGGCAAGCATAGCAATAATGATTGGAGGAGTGCCCATCAATGCAACTGCATTTGTTTGTGGAAGCTATCTTGCAAAGTATTTGAGTGGAGACTAGAACAGTGTTTAAGAAAAGAAGAGACACGATCTTGCAGTGGAGAAGTACCAAGCAGCTTATGAAAAGTATCAATAAAATTAAACAAGCTCCTTGATTGGATTGCAACTAATGACAGAGTCAAGGAGCAGGCAAAACAGAGTTTGGTGGACACAGATTATGCTTTGATGCTGTACAACAAGGGGTATAATCAAGAGCTTGATCTGAGAGAACCACAACTTTCTGACTTCTACCAGCCAAGTGTTCAACAAAAGCAAGGTGAAATAATCTATGCTGAGGAATGGCATTGATTGGTTACGAGTCATTTCTTGTAAACTATGATAAAATGGAAAGAAAACTTTTAAGAGTTAAGGCTTCTGGAAGGGATTGCCAGCTGTGAGAAGCTGGCTAATGAAGCCAGAGTGTCTGAGGAGGTTGCAAAGCTTTGGCTGATGAAGCAAGCCATCTGGCAGATTTATTCGCCAGCCCTGAAGCATATCCTGAGACAAACTTTTGATGTCAAATCTCCAAATGCAACTTGCCAAGCTGAATTTCTTTTCCTCCCTCATGACAAAGTGACTGCAAGGTTGTGGAAATTCTACAGGTATGCATTGACTGTTGTTGATGTTGCAAGCAGATTCAAGGCTGCTGAACCTTATTAATCACCTCAAAAGAATTTTCTGAGGTCTCAAAGGCTTTTCAGACAATCTGTGAGCGTGGACCACTGAGATGGCCCAAAGTTCTTCAGGTTGATCTTGGGCATGAATTCATGGGTGATGTCAAGAGAGCTGACAAAGCATGATGTGAAGATAAGAAGAGGGAATATGACCTTTCACAGAGATCAGGGAATTGTTGGGCAATTTAATTGAACTTTGGGTGAATGTCTCTTCACTTTCCAATACAGTAAAGTTGAATAGTGAATAACCAGGTTGACTAGAAAGAAACCTGTTGATGCAATCAAAGACAAGTTGGTTGATGCAAAGAGTTCAACAACTTATTCAAGGCCAGTTAGCCTAAAGAAAAAGAAACTTGACTCTTCAAAGAATGTGAGATATCTCTATGCTGCTGGTGAGCTGAAAGGTGGTCAAAGAAGAGCAACAGATCCAATCTGGTCTCTGAGGGCGAGTCTGTTTTTTACTACACGAAGGATTGACCAAAGAGTTGTTTTGTCAGAGAAGAGCTACAGTGTGTTCCTCTTGGAAATGAGTGACCTCCTAAAGGAATTCATTCATTTGAATAAAAAAGAATTAGTTTCTCCACAGACCCAAGCAATCCTGTTGAATCAATTCAAGAAACTGATAAAGATATGAACAGTGAAAAGATCATCAATCTTGCCAATCCAAATGACCACTGAAATAAAATTTCACTCACACCAAAAATGTCAACTTCAAAAAACAATTCAAGAAACTTTTTCTTTTTTGATGAAAATAGGCATTTTGACCTTCATTTGATCAATGATCTTAAAATCTTAAATGTCTTCAGTGTTATCAAGATATGTAAGAGAAGTTTAAATGGAACATCAATACATACAAGAAACTGCTTGATCAGGACCGGATGTACCATTCACTGTTGTTGGAGAAAACACAAAATTATTCAATTTACAAAAAAACCTGATTTTAAGTTTGTTTCTATTGATGTTAAACCTTCAGCAGGATTTAAGAGAAAAGCAAACCCAACAGAAGGAGGAAAGTGGAAAATTGTCAGCTGTCACTGGAATATGGATAGTAATGGAGATGCTGTAATAAATTCTCCTTCTAGTGTAATGGGAGAAGGCTTCTCAACTTTAGTGCAAGAAGAATTAGTTATAATAATTATGTATGTGGGAAATTTTCAAAACAAGATGAAGATAATTTTCATGAAGGTTTAAACTCTGACTGTCATACTTTGCTCATTTACAAAGACATTCTTATGACGGAAGAACAAATCAAGGCACACCACAACTTCTTCATAAGAAGATACAATATTGATGCAGATCCTGTTGAATGAAACCATGACACATGCTTTTTCTTTCCTGCTTTAATATTTTGCATCCTAGTGTGTTAAAGCTTGAGTTGCAAAAATGAATAAATGGAAGATCAAAACAAAAATTGATTTGTCAATTAAAAATCTGTGTTTAAAGGTGACACTTCAGGACTTGCTTTCATGTTTGACTGCATGATATTTGCTCTTAGATATAGATTCTCTGATCAGCCCTCCAACCCTTCCTTTAACCTGCATTGTATTTGTTTACCTTCTTCTGGTTTAGGAGTAATAATTCATTTAAGTGAGCTGTCACCTTGAACTGAAAAAGGTGTAATTCAAATACTCCTTTGAATTGAGTGCTTGTGTTGAATGCTGAAATTCAAATTAAATAAAAAGCACAATTGTATGGTTACAATTTTCAGGAGGTAAAGGAAAGCATTGATGCATTTGAAGCAAGTATGAGGGCTGTTATTCCACCAGCTAGTCCAATAGGATTTGAGGGGTAGGTCAATACTGTGTTAAGCTATAGTCTCAATTTATCTGTCAGTTTTAAGTGAGATATCTAGGTGTGTCTTTTGCCCACTTTTTCAAACTTTTGAAGGACAAGAAGAAGTCAACCTCTAACTACTTTTATATGGTAGTGCTAATGTACATGATGTGTGGAAAAATAGATGACTGACATTAAATAAGCTTGAACCATTATAAATGGCTTGTTCAGTCATTAGCCCCTGAAAATGAATCAAAATGTTATAGTTTTTATAAACATTCTGTTCATTGAAAGTTTGTTAACTTGTGAGCTGTTTTGTATCCAGAGAATCTAACCGAGAGATTGACACTGAAATTGACACCTTCCTTGGTACCCAATCTCCCAAGAAGCCTGTGGATCCGCTGTCATACATTAAAGTAAGTAAATAACACTTAAGACAGACGGGTAAAGTTACTGATTATAAGGGTAGCCAAGATTATGATTGAATATTTAACCTCAGTTAGGTTTAAGAGGGCAATGAAACCTCTATTAAGCTACAGACTTCCAAAGTAATATTGCCAATGTCCATTATAAGACAACAGATTTACAAATTGAACTGCAGAGTAAACTGTTAACCCCTGAATAGATGAAGAACAGGGTGAGTGATTATATAAATTAACAAACTTTCAAATCCAGCTGTTTCCATTAAGAGACCCACAATTATGTTGTCCAATAAATGTTTTTAAAGAAAAAAATTGTAGACTTTATCTGTAATTTGAAGCTTAATGTTTTTAGGGACTATTTTGTGTGACCAAAGCACTTAGTGTTGGTGTATTCCTTTTGCTGAATGTACATTTATTTTACTGTAAATATGGATGGAAAGATTTGTTACCTGCAGGCTCAGCTAGTGTCCACTCAATAGAGTGTGTTTGTATAAAGTGGGGTCTTCTTCCCAAATTGATTTTATGAGTTTAACATTTTCTACCTACCCTATTGTCTATTTGTCAACTTTTAACAAAATAAATGCAGGTTAAAGGAATAATAATTGATAAATTGTTGCTTGTGGCCATCTCATAGATTGCATTTCTATTTCTTTTCTACTCAGCCCAGATCGAATGATGATTACATCAATAAAATCAGGACAAGACTGGAGGAAAACTCAGTTGCTAGAAAGGTATTGCATTTCTAAAGCCATATAATGTTGTAGGTGAAAAGATGTTATTATCATTATTATAGTAGCTATATGGTATATTATAAGTAACTGGACATGATTTAACGTTACTCTGGTTTACAGATTTAATGAATGTAACTAGAGAAGTTACAACTCAGACCCAGTGTTTCGACACTCCTGTCTAGTGCCTTCATCAGGGGTGATCTAAATGCTGCAACAAGAGGTCCTTTTATACAATCACTAATTAGCTGCCTTTTTTCTGATGAGGTGTAAATAGGCGTCAGGAAGTAAGCCTGAGTAAAGTTTTGCCTACAGACTTTTTATGGCATAGGGTGGTGAGAATCAAAAGTGAGGTATTTGTTGGTGTGGGTAGGTTTATGATAGACACTTTTCTCTAAATTCCCCTGAACCCCTCAGGACATATATATTTAAATCAAGAAATGGCAAATGTCTATCATTTTCATGCTCAAGGGTGAATTTGATAAACAGCTTTACTGTTTACATTTCCGCATACTGCATAAATAACATCATCGACATGTTATCTAAGTCTGTGGCCAAAACTTTACTTAGGAGGGCTGACTGTCTACCATGTTCTCTTAATTCAAGGGTGAGGAGAGGAAATATGACTCTGATGTCTTAAAGGCAAATGGCTATACAAAACCTTTTCTCTGTAACTGCCAAAAACCAGTAACAATTAGTAGCACTCCTGATGAAAGGGAACCAGTGACTGGTTTTGCCATTATTCCTTATATTCAGGGTGTTACAGAACCCATCAAGAGAATTTTGAATAGCCATGACGTTAAAGTAGCTCAAAAACCTTTTCAGACTTTGGGGCATATTTTTGCCAAACCTAAAGATCCGGTCACAAAAGAACAACGAACTGACGCCATTTATTCTATTCCTTGTAATGACTGTGACAATGAATACATTGGACAGACCAAACATCAGTTTTGTACATATTTGAAAGAGCATCAAAAAGCAGTTTTCTTTTGCAAAAAAGAAATTTAGCTTTATTGGAGCACACATGCCTAACTAACCACACAATTGGGTGGGATAAATCTAAAATTATCACCACTAATCGGCATTACCACCAGTGCCTTTGTTTGGAAGCTTTAACTCTGCCCACGCTCCTTTAAATTGTGATGATGGTGGTTTACTTCCTGATGCCTATTTACAATTTGTCAGAAAAAAGGCAGCTAATTAGTGATTGTATAAAAGGACCTCTTGTTGCAGCGTTTAGATCACCCCTGATGAAGATACTAGACAGGAGTGTTGAAACATTGGGTCTATGAATTGTAACTTCTTCGGTTACATTTGTTAAATGTGTAAACTAGAGTAGCATCAAACCATGTCTGATTGTCCACTTGGTTGCCATGTGAACTTTAATTTATTTTATAAGTAACTGTCCAAAAGAGCCAGAAGAAATTTGCCTGAAGCTCAGGAAGACCTTTTCATGTTGTTACCAGTTGTGTAGCTGTTTCCTTGTTGTTGTTTTTTTAACTTGCATGTTAAGTGACAAGAAGTCACAATAACTACAGGGTTCCAGAAAATAACCAGCATATCCTCTTTTCTAGGAAAGAGAGAAGAGAAGAAGGAGAGTCTTGATTGAACAGATGAAGGCGCATGAGGCTCAAGAAGTAAGATTAAAAAGGAAGCTAAATATCTTCTAAATGCTTTAAATTGATGTCATTGTTACTTTAACTTAATTGTTTGATGTTTAGAGAATGTGGTCCAGTTACAGTGTAGCTAAACATCCCTGGAAAAATCTGATTGAAGTATTCAAAAGTATATGTAATTGATGAGTTGTTTCATATAATTCTTGCTTTGAAATAAGAAAATACTTCTCAGTGCCCCTTTTTCAGGCAGCATTTATATAACACTTAATACTTAAATAACTTTTTTTTTTGGAAAGATTCATTGCTGAACAAACACCAAACATTTCATTGATACATTGTAATAATTATATTTAGAGAAATTTAGGATTTTATCTCTATCACATGGAAATGTGGATTAGACAATAACCAAAAAATTGTAGAATGATTTGTAGTAGTTCATCAGTGAGTCTTATGCCAATTTTTCAGGAAGCACATCGTGAAGAGATGCTTGTGAACAGACTCATGAGACAATCGCAGCAGGAGAGAAGGATTGCTGTCCAACTTATGCAGGTTGAGTCTTATGCATTGGTGTTACTTTAACTAAGGCCTACATTTCTCAATTGTTGGTATCAATCTTTATCAATACTTAATAACAGTGACTTATTCAAACCAAAAACATTTGTCACAACTTGTGTATGAGTGTCATAAGTGTACGTTTTTTCATCCCAAGACAAGTGCCATTTAAGACCTGGTTTAGAATGGCAAATTTGATTTGATGGTTTTGTAAATTCATTTTCAATGTACCCTACAATGTAGGCTCCATTAGACTGTGAAGGGTTGGTCATAACAGCATTAAAGTTTAAAATCTGTGGTAAAAACTGCTGACATAACATTAACAGGATTTCTGGTAAATGCAATTGGCAGGTGATGGACTTATTAAAAATGCAATCTAGTTCCTGTGATTGTCATAACATGAAACTTGGATTTTGTTGGAACTAATTAAATCTTGGGTAACATTCTTTCTCCCCTAACTGTAACACAAAATGGACTGTTTTGAAATAACAGCATGTATTGGATAATAGAAATCATTATATGTTGCTGGGCCATGAAATACTCTTTCACAACGAGCAATTTTTATACAAAAAGTCCTGTCTAACTTTCCTTCTGATAAGGAGAACCTATGGATTCTTTGGATCAGGTATAACTGATTGGACTTCTTTTCTTCAATTGGTGTATTTTGTTGTTTTCCAAAATGCTGCATTATAACGGTTTAGATTTCAACTTACAGTAATGCTTTACTGGCTACAACAACTTCTCAATATTTTGCTGTAAAATATGAGATTAGCAAGATTAAAAAACTTTTGTGTGAATGCCATCAAATCAAACTTTATTAACTTAATTGCTTCAACCACCCACAGATTCGCCATGAAAAAGAAGTCATTCGTCAAAACAGGTATGTTGGGTACACGTGGAATAAGTTGTAACCTGTCTTTGAATAATGCTCTTGGTGGTAAACATTTATCCTTTGGTTAATATTCTTGGTGATAGTAGGTAATGATTGGTCCAAATTATTGTTGAGTTGAAATTGAATCCAGCTATTTTAAAATTTGGACCCACAATGATCAAAGATATTTGATGGAAGTATTTTTTTCTAAAAAAGGATATTTAGAGAGAAACAGTATGCAGAGAGAAGACTGAAAGACTTTGATGATGCATTAACAAGAGAAGCGGTAAGAGCTTATGTACATAATAGTCTTATGTTTATAACTAATATCAATGTCAGATTAAACATATTTAACTTTAAGAGCTGGTTATTTACAAACAATTTAGCCATTGTTTAACAACACTACATACCAACTGAAAGTATCTCCACTTTAGCCAAACCTTTCATCTGAATATTTATTTTTGTGAACAGTATTAAGAGAACCAAAACCTAACAATGGAAATACCTTTTTTTTAAAATAAATCCTCTTATACACAATACCTGAGGCCCACTGTTTGCATTAAATGGCAGTTTGGTTTACACCCCACGTAAATAACCGCTCCTTAAGTTTTGGAAAATTTTATGGCAAGCTGTCACAAATTGTGCTTGTTGAGTATTGTGATATACATGCAGTATCTTCCCTTATGCTGCTCTGATTGTACTTATGTTGAAGTTATATTCCCAGGTAATGCAGAAAAGTTGAGATCATAAACTCTGTGATTTTAAAGTAACATCACAGTAAACTTTTCAACAGGAATTATGTCGTCAGGCCAGAATAGAATATGCAGAGGAGACAAGGAAAGCTCAGGAATTGAATGATAAAGTAAAAGCAGAAATTGCAGAGGCAAAGTATCAAAAGCACTATAATATTTGCAGGGAGGTAAGTCCCCTTCATAGTGCTTCACCAGTTTGGTAATTTAGTATACCCAGAAGGTTTGTTTTCTTGTTTTATCACTATTCAAATTTATGTAAGTTAATTGGCCAGTGACACTGACATTCAATACAAGAAATGGAGAGACTGAAAGAAAAACATTTCTTTTGCTGATGAAGAGGAGACTTAATTGTTTTGTTTAAATTAGTTACTTATCTGGTACCTCTGTAAGTTGATATTTTATTTAATCCTCTGATTTCTTCTTTCCTTGTTTTTTGGCTGTTTTTCTCTGATAGGTTTTGTCACAGATTGTGGACTTCTCTTGTAAAATAGGAGAATACAGAGAACTCACTGAAAAGTAAGTTTGAATGCATTGTATGCTCTTGAAAGGAAAGCATAGAAATTTTCTTTTTGCCAATTAATAAGCCTTCAAGGTCTTAATAAATTTGTACAGTTTTAAAGTGTTTTTAAAATTTAGATGAAATGGTTACTGTTGTTGGCATGAAACAGGGAAATAGTATTTAGGGGGTTGAAAATGTGCAAGGTGTGGTACATGTTTATATAATGTTGATTTGATTTGTTCTCATGTTGATGAAACGTAATTGGAGAAGAATTTTTATTCATGTCATATTGCTGTAATATGACAATAAATTTTATTACAAAAGATAGTGACCTCCTTTGGAGATCTTGCTATACATTTGCTGTAAGGTGCAGAAATGCAAGGATAAGATATGTACAAAATTGGAGTGTCTAAGTGTTTTAGAAATTACAGTAATATTTTCATTCTCTCAACAAAAATTACCAGACAGTGGACAAACCATTATTTGTGCTTAGAGTGAATTGTGATTGACTGTGACTGGTTTATTATTGAATGTGTGCACTTAGCACAACAATCTCTGTTTCATTTGACACAAAGTTTATGATTGTTTTAATATACCATAATCTGCTGTTCATTTTTATTTCCATCATTATGCACAATTAGAATGATGTAATTAAATTGTGTATCTTCCGACACAGACTCATTCCACCCAAGATGTTCAGAGAATGGAAAGCACTGTTCTTTGAAGGACTTCCCATTTATGAGGATCAGGTTAAGCCATTTTTTTCACTCTAGATGTGTTGTATTTTACTTAAACTGCACTACAGGACAGCGTAGTTGAAACACCTAATATAAATATGGCATTCTTTGTTCTTTTTTTCAGCCAACTGAAGAGTCCAGTACTGAACTTTCCAAACAGAAAGAAATTGAGAAAGAAAAAGAGGATTTGATGGATGAGGGAGATTTTTTAGAGTACAAGGTGGGTAGCAACCAAAGCTAATATGCAATTTCAAATTTGGTTGGAATGAAGTCCACCTTGAATTATAGACTAGTTTCAAAGGACAAAGAAACCTAAAAGTTCTGTTTTTTTCTTGTTGTTTGAGTGTTGATCTCTGCACAGACTTGTATCAAATGCTTTCATCTTGTCAACCATGTTAACTTTTAAATAGCCTCTTTTTTGTATTTTAAGGTTAAGTTTAGATTGAAATGATTTTATACTGGTTTCAATTTTTTTCTGCACTTATCACCAAAGTCCTAAGTGTGTGGACAACTGTCTTATGCATCAAGTTATTTTTTTCTGTTTTCACATAGAATTTAATTGGTGAATGGACTCCTGTTGAAGGATCAGAAATACAGGGACCTGCAAAGGATAATGCAGTCCTAGGTCATATCATTCACAGGCTCTTTAACATTGTCTCTCCACCAGAGGTAGAGTGATTATGTATTGTTATCTCAAGTTCTTAAACTTGAGGTTAACCTCATAGCTATGTCTACAACTGTTATGGATATTAAACTGTAGGGGAAATATCTAGAAATTTCTAGAGTGCTTAGTCATGCTGACTTACATACCATGGAACTTTCTGGAACACTTGATTAGGTCATGTAGTCATGAAGTAACACTACCAAAGTAGTTGTGTTTTAAGCTTCCAGAATGTTCTAGAATACTTTGTAAATGCTCATAAGGACTTCATGGTGTAACCAAACTTTTGGAAGAAAATTTCAATTTATATTTCAATAATAGGTTGGAGCAAATAGGTACTTTTACTGTCAACAGATTGTTAAGGGTTTTGTTTATTATGTAGGCACCTCCACCTCCTCCTGAGTTTCCACCTTTTCCAATCAAGGTCTGTTTTCTTGGAAAGTTTTTTAGCGGGAAAACCACAACAATTAATAAAATTCTTGAAGGTGAGTGATGCTTTGTTTATTATATAATTGTTCGTTGATGTTTGACTTTATTTTGATGAACAGGACAATTAGAATTCACACAAGTTTTTTTTTTTTTGGTGCTGATTGCAAGTCATAGATGAATGTAAGCAAAATGCCTTGGGGTTGCTACTTTGGAACCAGTGTATTGTTTAAACTGTGTGTGTGTGTGTGTGTGTGGGGGGGGGTATCTGTCTCTTTTATGAACAATTTTTGTGCCAAATATGCAGTGTTTTACTGTGCTTTATTGAATCGATATAATATTGTTAATGCTTTTAAAAACTTTCTTTTAAAATGTACCTAAAAGCTAGATGACTTGTAATTAATTCATATCTTGAAATTTTGCTAGCCAGTTTTGGCAAGTGATTACCAAATTTGTAATTAAAGACTTGCTAACATTTGTGAAAAGGTGAGTAGGATCCCTTACCTGTTGATGATATGCAACCTAGGCTTCTACTTTATTATATACATGAAAAAATTGAGGTATATAAAAACAGGGGTTCTTTCAATTTCAAAGAAAAAGCTTTTCTCTTTTTCTTCATGTGATTAAAATGTATTCCATTCTTTGGATCATTCTTTCATTTCAGGTCATCGAATGGTTAGACTCTCTGTGGATGATCTTGTTGCAGAGGCCATTAATGCTTTTAAAAACAATGAATGTATAGAGGAACCTTCAGAGGAGACAGCAATACTGGTATGGTGGTTATCTTAAGATTCATAGCCATTAAGAGTGCAAGTACACAAATACTTGGTAACCTGAAGAGCTTAAAGACTTAGCATGAGTTTTTTTTTTCAGGATGAAGGAACCTCCACTAAGAAAGTGAGCATCCATGAAGAGACTGGTAAGAGTAAAGACCAAGCATCTGAGGAGTCTAGGGCTGTGACACCACAGTCAGGTGCACCAGAAGAAACAATGGGAGAGGGTAGAGGTTTGTATTCAGACAGACACTTAAATACCTTCAATGCAGAGCCCTTAAAATGTTTCCTTTTCCATTGCCTTCCCTGTTGAGAAAGTGAGTTTGTTCTCTAGCCAAAATAAGAGGAAATAATTAGATTGAAAACTGAACAAAGTCCTGAAGTCCTTAAGTTGGAAGTCTTGGTTTCATATTCTCTTTAGTGTGGTTGATTAACGTACAGACGGAATGCAATGGAGTCAAACCTGATTGACAGCTGAGTTTGTGTAAAAAGCTCATCTTTTAGGGACCCAAAAACTGTGCTAACTGGAGCAGGCAGCAATTTTAAAAGAAGCCATATTCACATGGGGTTGTTTTTAGCAAGATTGGTGTGAAATATGGAGAAATATTTGAAATGACCTCTACAAACATTTGGCTCACCATTCATGAAACAGGTCACTGGAGCAAACATTCTCACCTATTGTTTGTGTAAAAATAGAAAATGAAGATCCTAACAAAGTGGAAGAAAAACAAGTCAGTGAAGCTGTAGATGTGGAAGAAAAAAGAGATAAGACTAAAGAAGAACTTGAGAAAGAAATGACTGACATAAAAGACGATGACCAGAAATCACCATCTAAGTCTAAAGTGCTGGAGCCTGTTTTATCAAGAACTAAGGGGCCCACTGTGAGTGTTATTTGACTGTCTCCTCTTGTACATTAATTTAATACAGGTATATTGGGTAGATATGGGTAATAGAGTCCCTTTTCAATGATGTAAGGTGGTTCTGAAACTGAACTACAGATTTCTTTTATTCTTTGTTGAAAGATAAATATCAATACTGCAAATATTAGTACAGTTTCTTTTAAATTTATGAACAGATAAAAAGTAATGAGATGTGATGTCTGGAAGTAAATAAAGTCCTCTTTCAGAGTCATTCCCTTTGGGAACCTTTTCTTGGACTTGCATGGGCTCTTCTCTCTTCCCTATCCATAACAATGTTAAAGCACATATGACCTTATACTTCACTGAGGAAAAATAAACATCATTGTGGGCTGTGAGGAGGTATTTCCTTGTCATGAGTAAGTATATGTTTCAAATGTGTCCTTCGAGATTGTAACTCTTTCAATTAATAATGTTTTCTATGAAATTGATCTCATTAAGATTGACCTCTGACCAGAATATGAACTTGTTTTTAATTGGCGATTCAAGTATTAAGGTCAAAAGGGTTTCAATGTCTGTTATCTACCTTAACAGTGTTTGTGATTCTCTCTACTTTGTCACTGATTGATTGATGGTTTAATTCAACATTTGCTGTTGTTAGCAAAGGGTTAGCTATTAATGATAAACTTGTGATTTGATATATATTGGCAGCTCACAGTCCGTGCTAAATTGGGTTCAAAGGCCTATAGCTTTCTAAAAAAGGGGAAAACCACACCAGACCAATTATTGGTTGATATCATGGTAGAAGCTGTCAGGTAAGTGTGCTAGTAACTCTTTTGAAACCACATGCCCATTCCAGGTGACCTATTTGTTGTAAGTTCTTTTTTCACATTTTGTCATTGACTCAGTGTCAACAATGAGAATCAACCACTAACAGGAGTGTGTTCAATTTGATAGGCAAGTCCCGGAGGGTAGTGGTTGGATCATGGATGGGTTTCCTAGTACAATTAACCAAGCCAAGGTATGTTGTGATTATTGGAACCAACACAGTTCCTAGTTAATATATGCCTGGAAATTATCTGAGGCTATTCTCTCCCTAAAAAGGAGGACCATGAATGGCTAAACTCCTGTTACTCCTCTTACCCATATCAGTTTTGTTATGGTATGACTAAAGGGCATCTCAAGACTCTCAAATTGAAAAGCCTGTGATACCAGTCCCTTGAACCCAGAGAAAAGTATTCCCTTAATACCATTATTCTTAAACAGAATGCCAATAACACATTTCATATATTGCATCCCAATTTCAGCAGCATTATCCCAATCCTTGAAATATATCAACATATATTTCCTTTTTCAAGCAGCCTATAAACATTATGAATGGTTATGCACTTGAACTTGATGCTACACTTAGTTTATAGGGGGTACATAAGGTTTAAAGGTAAATTAACTTTGGCAAAAACCCTGCTTTATTGGAAAAAAATACTATTTCAGAGAAAGTCTAAGAGTGGAATGAAAATCTTGTCTTCTTAGCAAAGTTTAAAATCAACACCCAGAGGTGCTTAATCAGGAAGATAAGGGTTTCACTTAATGTTTTCTCTCCAATTATTTTAGTTGTTGGAAAAATCACTCAGTGGATATGATGCACAGAAGGAAGCTAAGGATGCTAAAGCTGCCAAAGAACCTAGCAAAGTTAGCAAGACCAGGAAATCCAGACTGGCACCAGACCCCCACCCTTCACCTGAGGTATGTGTTAGCATGAAAAAAATAAGTTACAGGCTGACTGAAGCAACTAATCATTGGCTTGATGGGTCTACTGATTCACGACTTTTTTGTCCAAGAATACACCTGGTTTGATTTCAAAATTATCTATGAAATCAAATATTTTAAGTGCCCATTCTGTAATTTGAAAAGGTGGGAAATATGGATATTAACAAATTTGAAATTGATTCTCTTTTCTTTCTGATTTAATTAGTTGGCACATGCCAAGGTATTAAATTGTTCACCATTTTCGTTCTTTAAAGGCAGGCAATGAGCTTTACCCATCCTGAGTTGCTATCTAATTGCAGTCAGACTATGTATGACTTAAGTTACTCCATTGGAATATCTTTTCTCATGATCAGGCTCCTGCACCCAAGAGTGGTATTGACTTGGTATTGTTGTTTGACCTGCCTGATGAAGTTTCACTAAAGAGAGCTGAAGGAAGAATGTGTAAGGGCTTTATGACCAATCTAAATTAATGAACTTGACAAATGAGAACTGAATCTGGTTTATTATCTTTAATGCATAGACTCCTGAAGTTCCACAATTTTCCAGCCTCACTTTTGGCAAAAGGCATTGATATCCAGACCTTCAAATTCATTGCCATATGTCAAGTAGAAATACCTTTTATTTCACTAAATTCACACCATTTACACTTGAGTACCAACAAACTTTCTTTCCCTATTTTTTGTTTGTTTGTTTATTTTTTTCAAATTTCTGTTTTTTCTTATCATGCTGAAGAATGGAAGCTCTATGTAACCATTTAAAAATGCTTAACGGGAGAACTCCATTGTACATAAGTATGCATTGGTAGAATTTTTTCTCTTTCAATATTAGGCTATTAAGGAGCACATTCTAATGTGTTTGTTTTCAGATGATCCCATGTCTTCCCAGCAGTACCATCAAGAGTATAATCCACCAGTAGAAGGCAGTTATACAGGCATTAATAAACATGAAAAAGTTATCCCCATAACTGATCCTTCAAATGACCGTGAGCAAGTCCAGCAGAGGTTAGCCTTCCTCTTTATTCTTGTTTACTCTATAATCAAGCAAAGTTACTTTAATGAAATGAATGGGATTGTGTTGTGAAATTTAAGAGAGATGAAATATGATATAGTGGAAGCTTAACTCAAGAATTCTTAGACATATTTTTTAGTTAACAGTATTTGGATTTGTTCAATATGTTTTGTGTGCCAGAGTAATCTAAAATTATGGTTTGAAAAGTAATAAGATGGGTGCAAGCAGGAAGAAGAATTTTTGGCTTGTCTTGTCGTGAGATGTCTTTTCTTCTCTTACAGGATTGTAGGTTTTGGTGATGGCTGGCCAAAGCTAGAAAAATGGTTTGCTAAGTTTGGTGTTCTTCAACGCGTTGATGCAAACAGCAGTCAAGGTAAATGACATTTATACATGTACTTAAACTTTTATCTGCTCTGGAATTTTCATTGTATTGCATTAGTTAAGTGCTTTCTGATTTATATTGATCAGTTTAATGTCATATCCTTTAAAGGTTGGAAAATGATGGGTTTTTAGAAGATAAGCGCCATGGCACTTAACTAATATGTCACCTAATATTTTTCTGTTTTCGTGTTTAGATGAACTGTATGACGAAGTATCAGCCTTACTGAATGAAACTTATCAGAAATTAATTGCACCACCTGAGGAGCTTCCTTCTGTGAGTAGTCTTCATTGACTTTAAGTGTACTAAGTTCTAGTAAGAGGACAATTTTTCAGTAGACACAATAACCGGTGATAAATAGCAAAAGTAAACTACAACATTTAAAGCGATCCTAGTGTCACTATCAATAAACAAATGGAAGTTTTAGTTTCAAGTTTTCAAGCATCGATGCCAGATTTGTGATTAGTTTGGGTTATTGTTCGAGAGTCATATGAGCATTCATGATCAACATATTTCAATTCCTTTTTACCTCATGGTATGATGTTAGTTATGGGTAGGTATAGACCTAAAATTCACTCGCCCACTTAAGATTTCTTACTCGGTCAAGATCACTCACTCTATTCTTATCTGTTAGACAATTGATTTATGCATTGGACGTGGAGTAAACGCATTATCCCCTCCCTTCCCTACCAGGTTTGGTTCTTTCCCTACAGTTGTACTATCGTCTTCTGTTTATATATCTGGGGAGCGAGACAAAGCCAGGAACTTTTTTCTAAGCACGTGGGGTGATCAACTCGTGTAATTCAAAACTGAATCTGTCATACAATGCAGGTTCGATGATATCCAATAATTGGACAAAAATATCGTGTTGAAGTCATGATGTCCGGGAGTTAACATTGTGTATGTCCTTAAACCTTATACTGTAATTTTCTCTGGAATTAGGAACCCTCTGTTCACCAAGGACAGGCAGCTGAAGGTAACATTTACATACCTAAGTCACCATTATTATTGTAACATTTAGGACCTGCAGTTGAAATGTCTTTAAAGGGATTTCTATTAAGATTAATAACTTGGCAGTACAAATACATGCCTATTTGACATATCATCTTTGTGACAACCATGTTAAAATGGTAGCTTTCACTTCAGCTTTTTCCATGTGATTTTCATACATGTACCCTCTGATGTTAGTTAGCTGTGCGAGTGCATGGTAACTCAATCATCCATAACCCAAACTACGAGACACAGTCTTATTTTCTTTTAAATGCAATCATCTTTAACATTCTCTCAAATCATAGAATTTCTCAAAATTAATGATTTGACAACTTATGAGAGAGATTGACTTCTATTACAATGCAATACTCATCAGGTGGATTTTTCTTTAGCTGAGACGCCATCAGGGGCTCAGGTGCCTGCTGGTGATGGGCCTTCAGGTGAAGGCTTGGGAAGTGAAGGCGTTACAGCTCCTCCAGAAAGTGTTGCTCCGCCATCTGAGGCTCCATCTGAGGTAGGGGCCAAATCTGATGGCAAGTCAGAGAAGGGTACCTCAAAGAATAAAGCAGACTCTAAACCAGGTTTGTTTGACTCTAGTTAGCCTAATTACAGAAACTGTCATACAATAACTGGATGCGATGCGAAAGTTGCAGTGTGCTATGATATTTACCTCACGTTGCTATGGGAGTATAACTTTCAACTTCCAGCTTTGTCTTAATTACTCTTTGATTATTTTTTCTAACCCTGGTTGTGGACCAACTAGGTTTTGGTATTTTCAGTCATTCTGCTTACGTTACTTTTCATAGTTGAACAGCAATGATGATAAAAGAGCATTTTTAAAATTTACACTTTCACAGACATTTTAAAGATAATCAGACAAATTATTTTCTAGCTGACCATTTAGTCTCTTTTGGCTTCAACATTTGGAAGTGTACATGTAATACTTTTGTGTCAGCAGCTGATCTGTTCCGGAAATTGAATTAGTAAGACATTCGGAGCTTCTCTTTTTGGTTCATATTCTGAGAAACATTTAACAAGTTGGGCTAAACATCACTTGTTGTTGTCCTTATCTTAAGGCTCTCCAAAGTCCAGGAAAAGCAAGAAGGATCGCTCACCCTCCCCACCCACATCGAAGAAAGGAACTAAAAGCCGTACCCCATCCCCTCCCAGTTCTAAGAAAGGCTCAAGATCAGGATCCAAGTCACCATCAGCGTCAAAAAAGGGCTCTAGACCTGGTTCCAAGGGATCAAGACCCGGATCAAAGAGAGCTAAATCTGCCAGTATGTGTTTATTTTATTTTTGACTAGAGGGGCGGTTTCGACGTTAATGTTTTATTTTTCCATATAAATATATTTTCCTTTGCAATATTTTGGAGTCAGAGTCTACGCCCTGTCCTACTTAGGAGGAAAAGGAAAGTTATTTAAATGTGATACTTCAAATACTGCTCATTCTGTTTCATTACTGCAGCATCAGGGATTTTTGAGGAAATTTTCCTAATATGAGCTTAACTTTGTTTTGAATCCACAAGAACAGCAAAATACATAAACACTCAGAGCCTGAGAAATATAGAAAGATTCAGGTTGTCGTGAGTTTGCGTGATCAGAAGTGGAGAGAAAAAGACTGGAAAGATGGAAAATATTGCGTTTGTACATAGAATACCTTTTAATCCATTGTATCATGGAAAAGAAAAGTTAAGTGGTGATAGAGCGTTTGAAGATGGAGTTTAGCAGCGCAGCTTGATGGAAATAAAAGTCATTTTAGTTAGCTTTACCTTAAACCAGTGAAAGCCTAACCGGACTCCAGAGATGCTAAAATGAGCGCCTAAAAGCACTAGTTTTCAAGGGTGAAATTGCATTGAAATAATTTAAATGGAAACAAAAGATTGCTTCGACGTACCTGTTGTTCGAGCTAGCAAGTGTTTGAGTTACCATGTGCAAAATAACAGTATAATAGGTGACTCAAACCCAAGGAAAATATTTTCTTATTCGGGTAGATGTGAGTTTTGAAGTAGCAAAGGTTCACTTTACGTTATAAACTAACAATAATAAGTCAAAATAACCCTGATATCTCAGAGAAAGGCGCTGAAGAGCCAGAGGAGGAGATACCACCTGAACCCCAGGGGCCACCCGAGCCAGAGCCTGGTTCCGAGGACTGGGAATATGTTGATCAAGCTATTGATGTGGTATGTTTTTTTTAAATTCCATATCATTCAATGCTTACTGTGTTGCCTGTTAAATATGACTTTTTAGGAGTATAACAGTTATCATTTGCTTCGCACATTGGACTGGCCCGCAAATAGGCAAGCTAATCGATGGGCCAGTCAAAGTTTATGGCACTCTAAATATATATTGAAGAAGAACAGAGAACGAATCATATATGGTATATGTATTTTCTTCTTTAGTACCAAACGTTTTCAGGTACATGTTTGTAATTTTTTTAGAGAGCTTCATAATTTTCATATATGATTGTTTACTCTATTTTGGAAAGTTTCGAGTTAGAAAACCCGAATTACAAGAGGGTTGGTGCAGACATCACGTATATCGGCTCTTCCTAAACAGGATTAAATGATTCCCCGTTTCTCTGACAATTTAAATAAAGTTTATACTTTCCCTTCAAAGAGGTTCCTTATTAAGATATATGCTTTTTTGTGTGTGTCCAAATGTTTTTTTATCAGCAAAAAAATCATTGAGTTTCTGTTTGCGCTTTTAATTTGTGTCAGAAATCAGTATTTATTAAGTCACTTGTATCTCTGTAGGATTTTGCTGGAGTTCTTGTCTCTCAGTGGGAGAGTACTGAAGAAGTCTACGTTGAATCTTGTAAAAACGTCTTTGGATTGATCAGACGTGAAAGAGAACTTATCCATAGATATTTCTACGGAGTAAGGTTAGAGGTTCCCTTTAGAAGCTCGAATGTTTTATGTAATTTAGGGGAAGAAACCAAGCCAACAATGTTTTTGCTTTCTTAAATAGTTAGCTATTTATGATAATCACCAACTACCACATCTTCTACTATAAATGAACATGTTTCAACAGAGATTTGTTGCTTGGTTATTGATTATTTTTTCCTTGATGACTTTTTGCTGTCGTTTTATGTGATTTAGTTCCTCAAACATCTCATCATTTCATCTATTGTAGTTCTTTTGACCATCCATGTTAATTAGATGATTTGGTTCGTTTTACAGAAAAGATTTTGTAGCGTTTTTGAAGAGGCCAGATGAGAAACAGGAATATGTCCTTCAATGGCAAAAGGTAAATTCTAAAGAACAATTTAAACGGCAATCAAAACTATTTACAAGCAGTGAGAGGGGGATTTTGTCTTGCAAGATGCTTTTCACACCTTAAACATGGTCTCACTTTCAAGAAGTTTTATTCTTGGCCTACTCTCTAATTGTCGTTTTTAGACTATACTAAGGGCTGAACGCCTGATAGGTCCATACCTAGAGGTGCTGGCCTTTGGCATTATTGAAATGTATTTTCCTAGCAACGTATGTGTTGCTATTTAACCTTTGTTCCAGTAAAATTCTTCTAACTGGAGTGCGAGGCAATTTTCATGTGGACTGTGTATTGTGCCTGAAATAAAAGCAGACAGCTTTTCTGTTTACTCTTTCGAATTAGTCAGTCAACCTCTTGATGATAAAATCCTTAAATTCTGCACCGTAACTGTAAACCCTAAATTATCTTTCTTGTTTGGTAACTTATGGGTAATACGCCTGGAGCACTATTAGTTGCCACGTTTTGGGATTCTTCTGCTCAAATATCGGCAGTTTTGTTTTTTGGAATTTTAGAATATCGCCAACTGCTACTTTCATTATCTCAACCTTACCGCGATTTTAATATTGTAACCATTAACAGAGTTGCTTGTACGATTGATCTTGCAGTCGTACAATGAAGTGACTGAAGACATGAGAGGAGACGAGGATACCAAAGCGGAGCTACACCAGCAGCTAGATGTTTGTACCCACTCCCCCTTACTTTTATGGAAATATTTATATTTATATTTAAAACAATATGTCGCGGGTGTGGGACAAAGATAAAGTCCTCAGTGTGAATTTGAACCTCAGCCTGAATTGCAGTGTTACTTTCCAAAATGTTTTACCATCTAAATTGCAGATGATTCGTCGGCGAGCTCTTGGTAATTTGTTTTTAATTTGCTGTAGAAAGAAATAATTGTTTTTTTTTCTCTGCAGGACCTTTGTGATCGTTTGAACGATATCTGTGACAATCGCAAAGACCTAGCAGAGAAAGAGCGTCAATCAGTGATGAATGAGGGCTGGCTGGAGGATCGGCTTGGTCTTCTCACAAACTTTTACATCACACTAATGCAAGCAGAAGTCGATAGATACCAAGATACAGTGCGGTTACTGAGGGACTATTATGTTGGTATGGAAGGTGAGGAGATCCAACTTGAAAACAGGGGCGTTCTCCTTCCAGCGGATTTTTTTTTAGGAAAATGGACTGGACTAAGACCTTGCTTAAGATCAACTTACTTGGGCGGTGCGGGTCAAATACGTTTGTTCAACAATAAAGGTCTATAAAACAAATTGTACAAATTTGATGGCATAAGGCCAATTGTCACGCACTGATACAGTTTAGTGCAGCATAAACCGCCATTTTGTGTCTCAAGTGAAGGAAGCTAATCTGCATGGCGAAAGTTGTCGCTAATGTAATGGACAATTTCCACAAATATACATTCTTGGAATCTGTTATTAAAATTTTTCCTGTTCCCTTTGATTTCTAACCGGAGATTTCGATACCTTTGGCTCGATGGATAGTGCTCAAACATCCTTCCTGATTGTTAAAATTCTCTCCTTCGGGGATTTTTTGTTTCGTCGTTACGACTTGAGAGTGCTGTTTCTTTCAGATAATATTGCTTTTCACAAATGGTTTTCCCCTATTTCATCAACAGGTAAAATTCCATCAGAAGTTATCACAGACTACGCGCGCTTATCACTTGTCGAACTACCACTGACTGTAAGACCACAGTCTGCATCATCCAAGTCTGGGGGAAGTGAAAGTGTAACGAACTTAGCAGCCACCGAAAAGACTGAGGTCAAAAGTCCATCTGGTAAAAAAGACAGAGATAAGAGTTCAAAAACTCCTGAACCTTCAGAAGCACCGGAGGAGGAACAAAAGCCTCGGTAACTGTGCTGTGGATATGGCAGCAATCATCATACTTCTCTGTGCACATATGTAATTTCATAAGGATTTCACAATTTTAAGGATCCTAACAACTTTTAGTGCATTTCTATCTCTATGAATACAAAATGCATCTAAACAGAAATAAGCCTGCACTAAAGGAATATAGCAACCGTTTATAAGTGATCTAAATGTGACGGTTATGAGTTAAACTTTTATCGATACAAAACACCGTTATGGTAGTAGGCCTATTTTGAAGGTTTGAGTTTTGAGTTTAAGAATTCCCATGCTGCATAAAAAACATACGCATCAGGGGTGACTTTGCGAGTGAATAATTATTACTTGTTTTGCAGTGCGGTGCTGCATTGAAACATGTTGTAACCCTGAAAGGAATGATGTCATTGTTGGTCTCCTCTCATATTTCAATAAGCTGTATAATAAAGGGTTCCGACTTCTAGTTGTCCCACAGAATTGGTTCTGGCCGTGATGGCCTTGTCTTTCGACTTCTGTTTGTCAGTTTTCAAGCGGAGATCTGTGTGAGAAGTATTAGAGGCTATGGTGCCGAATAATTAAACCATTTGTTGCTA